ATTTCTGCTGTCTAGGCAGTTTGCCTGAAGGGAAGCAGCAGTTCAGACCCTCATCCTTGAGGCACCTGGTTCTCTGGTTAGCATGTACTTCTCAAGCCATGTTTGTGTTCATCTACCATTATACCTGGGCAGCAAAGCAACAAAACATCTTCCAATGACTCACCCAAGCAGCACTCATAGTCTTCCCTGCTCCCATAGTGTAGCAGCAGGCCCTTCACCTTCTCCTCATGATATCAGGGTTAATTATCCCTGCCAGAGTGGTGACACCTTTCATCGCCTGCTTAACTCTTGGCAAAAGGAGTCTGAACTGACCAGGTCACAGCTGTAGCTTTAAGTTTAATGGGACTCTTACAGTGATCCCTGATGTGTGCCTTCCAACTCTAGAAACTAGAACCTCCAGTGACATGGAGCCTGAAGGTGCAGGGACAGAAAGCACAAACACCCAAGCATATAACTAGAAGGGGTGGTCACAGGTGCAGTACCATTTCCACACATTGGTTCTGAGACACGTACATTGTACCTACTGGGGACTCAGAACCATGTAATGGACATTGATTTAGGGCTTGGGTTGGCAAACTACAGCCTGTGGGCTACACCCAGCCCACTGTTTTTGTACATCCTGTAAAGAATGGTTTTTACATTTTTCAGTGGTTGAAAAAACTCAAAATAATAATATTTCATGACACATGAAAATTATATAAAATTCAAATTTCAGTGTTCATAAATAAAATTTTATTGGAACACAGCCATGTTTATTTGTTGACATGTTGGCTATAGCCACATGTAAACTACAATGACAGATTTGAATAGTTGTGACAGACTATATGTGGCACTCATCACTTCCCACTGCTGCTCAGCACACAATAAATTGCAGTGGTACAGTTATAACTGAATAGTGTTTTGGGTACCACACATATTGCTGTGCTGTGACTTATTTTTTATTACCAGTACATATCCATCATGTCAAAACAATGGAAAAAGGAGAAAAGTGGACTTTAAGTATCGCACTTTTAAGAAAATGGCAAAGCATTGTGCTCATTATGCAATGACACTATATAGCTGTGCTAAAAGAATACAATATTGGGACTTCCCTGGTGGTGCAGTGGTTAAGAATCTGCCTGCCAATGCAGGGGACATTTAAATTTAAAAAGGTTTAAATGGAGTATCTCATCACAGCAGAATTTCTCCACAAAAATAAGAAAAGTGAAAATGAGGCTGCAAGCAAAGTATGTTTCCAACTTGCTCATTTGTTAGCCAAGCAAGAAAAGATGTTTACTAATGATGAATTAATTAAATCAAGTTTAATTGCAGCTTCTGAAAAAAATGTGTCCAGAGAAAATAAATTTAACTGTTAGCCTTTCAATGAGAATAGCTGCTCCAAGAGTTGAAGACATTGGGGACAAAATCAAAAGTCAATTAAAGACAGGGCAAATGACTTCAAGTGGATTTCCTTGGCTCTTAATGAGTTGACAGATGTTACCAATACAGTTCAACTGTTGTTCATTGAAGGGGTAAATGCCAAGTTTGAAGACTGAAGAATTGAGTTCTATGAATAGTCTGCATGAAACAAATACAGTTGAGAGTATTTTTTAAAGTTGAGAAAACATTAATTCAGTACAACCTGAAGTGGAATCTGCTAAGATGTGATAAAAATGATAGTGGTGAAAATATGTGTGGAGCAGGGGGAAAAAAGGCTTAGTTGAACAAATTTACAAAGTTTATGAAAATATAAAGTGCTTAAAGCCTGTGTTTATTCATTGTATTATTCATCACTAGGTACTCTGTGGAAAATATTTGAATCTATCTTGTTACTGAACCAGTAATGTCAATGATAAATTTCACTTGCCACTTATTGACAGCCATCATTGGTTCCATGAATTTTGATCAGAAATAGAAGCTGGGGCTTCCCTGGTGGTGCAGTGGTTGAGAGTCTGCTTGCCGATGCAGGGGACATGGGTTCGTGCCCCAGTCCAGGAAGATCCCACATGCCGCAGAGTGGCTGGGCCCGTGAGCCATGGCCGCTGAGCCTGCGCGTCCGGAGCCTGTGCTCCGCAACGCCACAGCAGTGAGAGGCCTGCGTACAGCAAAAAAATAATAAATTAAGAAAAAGAAATAGAAGCTGAATATTCTGACTTATCAACCACACAGCAGTTCTATGTCTTAGCAGTGATAAAGTTTTATTGAGGACTTTTAAGCTCAGGGTCAAGATTGAAATTTTTCTGAGCAAGAAAAACTGCCTTAAACTACTATAATCAAACACTGAATGGCAGGGACTTCCCTGGTGGCGCAGTGGTTAGGAATCCGCCCGCCAATGCAGGGGAAACGGGTTCGAGCCCTGGTCTGGGAAGGTCCCACATGCCATGGAGCAGCTCTGCCCGTGCACCACAACTACTGAGCCCACGTGCCACAACTGCTGAAGCCTGCGCGCCTAGAGCCCGTGCTCCACAACAAGAGAAGCCACCGCAGTGAGAAGGCCGTGCACCACAACAAAGAGTAGCCCCCTGCTCGCCGCAATTAGAGAAAGCCCACGTGCAGCAACGAAGAACTAATGCAGCCAAAAATAAATAAAATTTAAAAAAAAAAACTGAATGGCATTGGAAATAAGCTTTTGCTGCAGTCTTCATGTTTTTTAATGAATTAAACCTGAAATTAATGAGCAAAGCAATGTTTTATGTGAAACTTATACTGAAGTAGAGTCATTTTGGCAAATTATTTTTTTAAGATTTTTTTTTATTAAAAATTTTTAAAATTTATTTATTTTTGGCTGCATTGGGTCTTCATTGCTGTGCTCGGGCTTTCTCTAGTTGCAGCGAGCAGGGGGCTACTCTTTGTTGCAGTGCACGGGCTTCTCACTGCAGTGTCTTCTCTTGTGGAGCACAGGGTTTGGGCGTGCAGGCTTCAGCAGTGGTGGCACGCGGGCTCAGCAGTTGTGGCGCACGGGCTGAGCTGCTCCACAGCATGTTAGATCTTCCCAGACCAGGGCTTGAACCCGTTTCCCCTGCATTGGCAGGCGGATTCCTAACTACTGCACCACCAAGGAAGCCCCTTGACAAATAATTTTAAATAAGTAATGTCAAGCTGCTTTATGCACTTCCTGAGCTGTCAAAAGTTAAAACAAGAAGCAAGATAACCATTCTCATGCAAATTTTCAGTGGATATATTCTCTGAGTTCAAACTAGAGTTCCAGCAGCAAGCAGTTTTCAGACTTCCATGTAAGTACAAGAGGAGTTTCCATATTTCTAAACTTTTTTATCTAAGCAATTGAGGAACAACCACCTGAACTTCAATTGGAAGTAATTGATCTGCAATGTAATGACATGCTTAAAGGCAAATATCAAGAAAAGAATCTCATAGGAGTCTACAAATATCTTCCAAGTGATGACTAGTCTCGATTATAATCTTATGCTCAGGAATTTATATCACCATTTGGCGGTGCCAGATATTTCACTTCATACCTATGTGAATGAAAAGACATTTTCAGAGATGACATATGTAAATTTTCATTACAGACAAGCATTAACAGATAAACATTTGCAATTGATTTTGATGGTAGGGAACACTAACTTTTGGTCTTCTTAATTGGGCTAAACATTATTTCCCTCCCACCCTGACGGCCAGTTTTTAAGGTTTGTGGGTGCGACCCCTCTTTCCTTGTTTTGTTGCTGAGGCTGAATTTTTATGCTACTTGACATTCACACTGAAAGATGAGGATCATTAGCCCCACTTCACAGCTCAGGAAACTGGGGCTCTGAGAGGGAAAATGACATGTCTGCAGCCACACAGCAGTGAGTGGGGAAGCCAGGGTTGGTGTGACCTAGCTTGGTCTGGCTGCAAAGTCCTTGCTCTTTACTCTGAGACACTGAACACAGTAGAGAGAAGCAAGGAGAGAGGAGATAGAAGTCCTTCAGAGCAAGAGCGAGAGACTAGGACCTGAGTGAGACAGGGCAGGACACAGAAGGACAAAGCAAGAAAGACAGAGCTCAAGCCCTAGAGCAAGACAGAGAGCTGGAGCATGAGATTTCTGGGCAATGTGACCTGAAGGACCAACTTGCCAGGGCAGAGGAGATGGAGCTGGGCTGGACATAGGGCTTCTGAGTTTGCAGGTTTAATGGCGAATAACCCAAGACCTTAGACCCCTCCCTCTGCAGGAAACCACGGAACAGCAGTGCCCAGATGGGCAAAAGGACAGCCTAACCTTGACCTCTTAACTGGCCCTTTATCATCACTTAGGCGCCAGTCTCACCCCAGGTGGCAGCTTTTCACAAGAAGGGACTGTCAGAGGTCTCAGCTCCACCTGGATCAATTCTTGCAGAGACTGGGGAGAGGGAGAGGCAGACACAACTGATGGCTTCTCAGCTCTAGGTCTGTGATAGCCTAGGGGATGACACTCACCAGAAGGTTTGGCTAGAAGTGGGTTGCCTTCTTTCCCCACCTCCACACCTGTGGAACTTCCCACACCAACCAGGTCTGGAGGGGAATGAGTCCTAGCCTGCATTCGGGATCAGAGAGTGAGGGACAGAGTTTGAGGTAGGAGTGAGGACAGGGGCTATGCAGTCTAACCATTTTCAGTTTGGAGCTCAGACTCTGACTTGGAGGTCAAGTATGAAGATACAGCAGGGAGCTATTGGAGGTCACTGAAAGGATGTGACCGCCAGCTGTACTCACAAGCTAGACCCAGGCAATTAGATGCCCCTCACCCCCTCCCCTGTCCTTGGAATGTATGTTCTGCCTGCCATTCCCACAGTGGGAGGCATTTTCAGGGATTCAGCCTTGAGAGAGTAATGTGTTCTCGAGAACATCTGGGTGGTATATGTGGCTGAACCTCATTAAGGCCTCTATATAAACTTGCAAGCGTCTGGCAAGCAAGTACGGAGATCTACTTGTCTGTGGCCGCCCAAAACAAGTCTTGTAAATAAGTTCCCTTGCTTACTAAACCTGCCTCCTACTAATCTGGGGTAATCTGCCTCTTTCTTCGGTCTTTTCTTGCCCTCCATGTACAGGGGCCAGTTTACGAACCAACAGGAGCCAGGATCAAGAGCTTGGGGTGGGTGTGCTCCTCTCAGCCATGGGGGTGGCTGGGAGATCACACCCAGAGCAACTAGACCTGGTGAGTGAATTCCTGGCAAAAGTGCTGCTGTGCGCAACAACCCCACCCCTGCCCCAGGCTTCCATTATACACAGCCTTAGGGAGAGGCACCATTTCCATAGACTGAACATGAGTGATGCTCCCTGAGTTGGCAGCATGGCAGATCTGTACCCCCAACTTTCCTACCTATGTCAGACGTTGCTAATCAATCACAGTCTCTGCTCAGTCTGGACAGTGGCTCAAAATCCTCCTCCTCAGACAACCCCTGCCATTTCCTCAGAGCTAGCATATGAGATGCTAACTATTTGGCATCATTGGCCCTGACTTCCTGGAGCTTATCAAGCAGAGAGAAGCTGGGGAAAGACCGCTTCACTGCTTTATTGGAAGGGGAATACACTCCGTCACAATGCAAGGCCCTGAGCCCAGCAAGATCTCGAGTTCGAGATGCAGCTGGTTGGCCGTGACTCTGTAGTGGCCCTTGATGAAACCCTGGGAAGCGCAGGAGTGGCATCTCCAGTAGGCCTGGATGATGCGGGCAGCGTTGAGCAAATGGCAGTAGCGCCAACAGATGCGCCACATGCGGACCCAGGACTGCAGCCTGACTGCCACCCACTCCTTCCGTGTAAAGTTCTCCAGAGCTGTCCGCTGCCTGTTCTCATGCAGCTTCACCAGCTTATGCCTCCACCAGCCCTGAATGATCCACACTCTGAGAGCCACGTGCAGCAGTGTGCTGCACACCAGGGTGCCCCGCCACCAGGCCTGGATCTTTACTACTTCTGGATTACTGATGGGAGGCCTGTTTTGGGTTCTTGGGATCTAACAAGAAAAAAGACGAGACATTTGGAGGATATTCCCCACCCACTTCAGCCCCAGGGTGTGCCAGGAAGGGATCCTGATGCCCTATCAACAATCACCCCTTCTTCTGAACCTCAAGAGCACTGGACAAGGCACTGGCTGGAACCAGAAGACCAGGTAGGTAGGTGTCCTTTCTTTGCCCCACTCTGGTTAATGGACATGGATACATCACATTGACTTCTGAATCTCAGAGCTCCCATCTGTAAAATGGTAGTATATCTGTCCTGGCTACCCAGTTTTACATGGGTCAAGTTGGCCAGCCTAGAGCAAGAATACCATGATCAAAGGGTTATCATAGTCCACCTGAGCCTGACCAGGATCCATGATCCTTCCCTTCAGACCCCACTCACCTACTGGAGAAGTGGCTTCCTCTTCTAATCCTGCTCTTTCATCCTTGACTGCAGCTCCAATCCACAACCTGCTCTCTTCCTCTGTGATAACATAGTATTAAAAGTTCCCACATCCCATAAAATTCTACCTCTCTTATCTCTTCCCCATCTTCACTTCTCTTGAATTTCAAACTTTAAATCTTAATTAGCAAGCAAACATACATGCACACGCTCAAACACACATACACACACACACACACACACACACACACCATTGATTAAGCCCAGCTTCCCATATGTTGGCCATTCCATTCCACAAACACAACTGCCACATTCCCACCCCCAGCCCCGTGTCACCTGGGTGGGGGGATCATACTGCTCTGAGTCTCTTATTAGCATCATCTACTCCCTTTGTTGCAGCTATATTCTCTTGTTTAGCCTAGAAAAATATGGGGAAAGAGGACAGAAAAGAATGAGTTTATTCCTGTTCTTAGCTCTGGAACATACAAAAGACACTAGCCACAAGCATTAGGACACAAAGACCAGAGACATCCAAGTCCAGGCTCCTCCTGCCTCTGCCTTCTCTAAGTTCGGTGATGGTGCTGGCGGTAAAGATTTCAAGATCAGCTCATTCTGCTGAGGCTCATTTTTGGTGTGTTCATGAATTGTTTTGGGCTGGTCCTTCTCCTGCAATCAGCAATTAGGGGAAAGGCAAGAGGGAGGCTGCTCTCCCTCCCTCTCCATTAAGTAACCCACACATCCCCAGCGTACAGGGCTTCCCAGAGTATTCAGATGTCAGGGAGATCCCCTCATCCCGAGAGATTTATGGGGCCATCCCTAAAAAAGCCTAGTGTGTCAGTCTCTCTCTTACTCACCATTGGTCCCACATGGATTGGGTGTAGATGGTTCAAATCCCCTCAGGTCTGTGTTCCTCTAGTCATGGCATGGAGAGAAAGTGGGGGAGGGAGACCTATGATGTCATAAGGGCAGTTATGACGCAAGCACCAGGCTGGCTCCCGACAGTTAAGCCCCCTGCAAAGAAAAGACAGAAGTGCTGTCCATTCTTTTCTGCTGGAAATGGCCAAAGCCCTAGCTACAAAAGCAAGACACCAAAAATAGTGGCCCATTGATGTAAAGGTGTATAAAGGTAGTCATTGGTGATATCCCCAATTGGTAAAATTGGGCATTGATTTAATGGTTTATAGTCCATTCAAACTATAGAATACAACATAACTGTTGAAAAATAATGAATTTGATCTATGTGTACTGATGAGAAGGTATACCCAAGATGTATTTGTAAGTGAAAAAGCTGAACATCATTATGATCCCATTGGATGGGATATAAAACCATCATTGGATGGGATGGTAAAAAACTGTCAATGTATATAATTATACACGTATGCTATAAACGCAGATAAAGAGGGAGAAAGGTATATAGACCAAACTGCTACCAATGATTACCTTAGAAGAGTTGAATTGCTGACCCATTCATACAATACCAGGGAAATCTGTGAGGCCCTCAGGACGAGCAGTACTGCTTTCCTTCCCCAGCAGGCTCTGGGGCTGGGAGCATATTCAGAGGGCTGATCCCATTGACACCCTCACTGACCCCTCCTTTCTTCTCTCCTTCCCACTCTTCCCTGAGGGGGTCTACTGAGAGCCTCTGGGGTGAAACTCTGGTAGAGGGTGAGAAGAATGGTGGAGAAGAACGGGGTTGGAGAAGGAGGCTCACCCCCATCATGCTCACCCCAGGCCACTTGCCCAGCACACCCTCAAAACCTTCGCTTGGATGATGTCACCCCTCTGCTCCTCAGCCCCTGGGGCAGCTCCTCCCTGCCCACTGGATTGAGTCTGAGCAGGTCCTGGTGGCATTCAAAGCCCCAGCACCCTCCCTGCCCCTAGGGTCACCACATTCACCAACACCCCAGTCTCTGGCCTCTTCCTGTCTGAGTCTGCCTCCATCTTGGGACCCAGCCCCCTCGTTTACCCAGGCTCCATATGTGGGATCTTTCCTGTGCCCTTAGAGCGCAGGGACTTTAATTTCTCCCTTCAGTCCTCAAATGCTCATGGATCCAATTATGAGGAGCATGTGTTTAGTGGCCATTCATATATCTTCTTTTATGAAGTATTGGTTTAAGCCTTTTGTCCACTTTTATTGGATTGTTTGTCTTTATTACTGAGTTCTAGAAGTTCTTATACTCTATATGAGTCCTTTGTCAGATACATGTATTGTAAATATTCTTTTCCCTAGCCTGTGACTTTTTAAAATGCTGTCTTTTGATGAACAGATGGTTTTAATTTGGATGAAGTCCAGTCTATCAATATTTTATACTTAGCACTTTCTCTGTCCTAGGAAATCTTTGTCGACTCCAGGGTCACAAAATAATTCTCATGGGTTTTCTTCTAGAAGCTTTATATAGGTTTAGCCTTAGTTTTTGTTTAGGTCTGTGATCCATTTTGAATTAATTTTTTTTTTTTGGCTATGATGTTAGATAGGGGTCAAGATTTTTTTTTCCAGTGAAAAATGTATTTCCTTTCTGCATTGAATTATCTTGGTACATTAAAAAAATCAATAGACTGTGTAAATGTGAGTCTATTTCTGGCTTCTCTATTCTGTATCATTGATCTGTTTGTCTGTTCTTACTCTAATACCACCTGTCCTGATTACTGTAACTTTATAGTTTTTCAAGACAGTAAGTCTTGAAATCAGATAATGTAAATCCTTCAACTTTGCACTTCTATATCAGGAATTCCCCAACTGCTCATACAGTTGATTTTTGTATATTGCCCTTGAATCTTTCAGTTTCGGGGGTGCTTTTTTTTTTTTTTGGTACGCGGGCCTCTCACTGTTGTGGCCTCTCCCGTTGCGGAACACAGGCTCTGGACGCTCAGGCTTAGCGGCCATGGGTCACGGGCCCAGCTGCTCCGCGGCATGTGGGATCTTCCCGGACCGGGGCACGAACCCGTGTCCCCTGCATCGGCAGGCGGACTCTCAACCACTGTGCCACCAGGGAAGCCCTCGGAGGTGCTTTTGATTTTTATTTATAAACAGCTTTGTTGGAATATAATTCACATGTCATACAATTCACCCCCTTAAAGTGCACAGTTCAATGTTTTTTAGTATATTCACAGATATTTGCACACAATACCATAGGTATCTTGCCTGCTTGCTAAATTTTCTTATTCCAGTAGTTTTCTCGGTAGATTGGGGGTGCCTGTATGCCAGTTGCGGGATCTGGAGGTGAGGTATCCTCAGTGGCTTGTGGTGGGCTTCCTGATGGGGTCCACAAAGTGGTTAGTAGGACCTGCATCCCTTTGATGTTTTGAACCCTACCTGCTGTTCTCTCAGTTCCTCCCCACCCCTCAGTCATGCTGCTCACCTCAGTGTTTTGAAAGGAGTAAGAAATGCACACCTCAGTGACCCCTGGGGCTGTGACTCTGAGAGGGTACCAAGGCCTCATGATGACCAGGGGGGTCTTCAGAGCACAGGAACAGGCAGAGATGGGGAGGGCCCCACCTAGTGTCTTTTGCGTGGTTCAGAGCTACGAACAGAGCTAAGAGCTTCTACAGTGGCTGCCCCTCACCCATCTAATTGTGGCCTTGAGTCCATCAGGAGAGAAGACAGGAGAGCACTTGAGACCACTGGAGTGTGAGGTGGGAGGTATAATTCTGCACCTCAGAATCACATGGCTTCATATGTTATAAAACATATAGCAGTGAGCTCATTGCCTACTCAACTTCCCTACATCTACTAGACACTGCAAACTAAACTGCTGATCCTTCTCATCCTGCTTTCTCCACCTGGTCTTTCTCATCTTGGTAAATGTCACACTGTCTATGGTGCCACATTCATCTCATCCCACAATTAACAGATCAGCAAGATCTGTTGGCGTCACCTCCAAACACAACCCAACCATACCTCTGCCTCCCCACTTCTGCTGGCCCTCTCACACCACCATCACCTCTTACCTGCTATTTACTATAGCTTCCTAAGTGGATGCCCTTCTTCCCCCAAACATTTACTAATTAATTCTCCACAGAACAGTGACTTGTTTTTTCTTTTTATTGTGAACCAGATCCTATTACTTTTCTGCTTTCAACCCTCTCATGGCTTCCCATTGCTTGGGAGGAAGGAAGAGCCCAACTACAGCAGAAGTCTCAGCTGACCAAGGCTGAGACTAGAAGCCGTAAGAGGGATTATTTTCAGTTTCAATTCCAAAAGCATTTATTTTCAAACTTTCCTTTCTCCCTGGGAATGTGCTAATGGAAAAGGGGTTTGTGTATTAAGGGGCATTTCCGTGTTACTTGCAATATTATTCAAGAGGTATGTGTATGCTGTCGTTGAGCTCAATTTAAGGCGGGACATAAGGAGTGAATTCTAGTAACATCCTCTGATCCACAACAGGGTTTTCAGGGGTTCAATCTGAACCTGACCCTTCTGGCCCCAGGAGAATGAAGGTAGGAGCAGGTCTGTCCAAGGGGGAGGCCTCATGAGCAGGGGAGCAGGAGGGAAGCCCTGTAGCTTCCTCCCCCAAGGGGACCACGCTGCCGCTTGAGAACCGTAGGCTCAGCTGTTGGGCCCAAGGCATTAAGGGAAAGTTCAGAGCCGATCCTTAACACACCTTGCTCATTTTCCATTGAAGAGGGCACTTCCCTGCACTGCTGCCTCTCCAATCAGCCTCTCCACCTCCTCTTTACTTCACTCCATGGCAGAAGCTGAATTATCCAGTTGGTGGAATCAGGAGAACACATTAACCTGGCAGAGTCACTGCTGTGAGGAATCATGCAGCCTGGCTGTGACTTAGACCAAGGGCAGAGCTATTCCCACCTCTGACACTGTCCCCAAGCAGTGAGTAATGCAGGGTCCCACCTCCACCCGGACCCCCACCCCAAGGGCAGTCTAGCTCCTAAAGCTTCCTAACCTGGCCTGGGTGGTGCAGATCAGCCTGACTTGTAGGTCTGTCTTTCTTTCAGTCCTCAGACCCCACAGCCAGCCCTTACACACACTGAACAGCCACAGCTTCTTAGCTGAGGGATCAGCAGCTTCTGACCCCAACCAGCCCAGAGCAGTGGGTGGAAAGCTGGCCTAACAAAGTCGTAGAGGATACTCAGGGTCTAGGAGCCAGAAGCCAGCTGAGGGCTCCATCCCCAAATTCGCTGGAAAGGATAAAGCCCCCAGGCCTTTACTAAGCCATCCCCTGCCATCCCCCTGCCCTCCCCAGTCAAGAAGCTAGAGGAGACAAGGCCCAGAAGAGGAGGTTTTTAATACAAAGAAGGCAGGGGATGGCCTGGGAAGAACTTAAATACAGGGGATGAGAGAGTCAGGAGCCAGCAGTAGGGGGCCTGGGGGCCCTGTGGAGAGGGATGATGCAGACGGAGTTCCGGGCCTCTTTGATCCGCCACCACCGGCCAAGCCTGCAGGGGCGAGAGGAGCAGCTGAGGGCGGGCCCAGCCCCACCCGGTATCCACCCCATTCCCACCCAGCCACCCACCCTATGCCATTTGCCCCACCCGCACCCCTCGAGAAGTGCCTCATACCTGTGCTCCTGCCCTACCCCAGCCACCAGGAAGTCCCCAGCACTGGAGAACTTGAGGCTATTGATAAAGCCCACCTGAGAAGAGGGAGGGACAAGGCACTAAGATGTGAGAACAGATCCCTCACCACAGCCCCAGCATCACAGTCAAAAGGCCCAGCCTGGGTAAAATCCCTGCTCTGCGTCCTGCCACCTGGGCCAGCCCTCTACCCCTCAGGGCCTCAGCATCCACCTCTGTGAGATGGGGAAAGTAGAGCGCAGGCCTCGCAGAGAGTTTGTGGGGATGAAGGAGACGGTGTACACCAAGTAGGGCCTGGCTCCTGGTCCTGGCTCTGGAGACTCCATGACCATCACCATTGACCCAAGTCCTGAACTGTCACTAGAAGTCACTGACAGATCCTGCCACTCTGCCCTAGGTTGCACCAAGTCCACACACCCTAGCCTGGCATTCAGTCTGGCACCAGTCATGCAGAACCCATCACAGGGCCAGGCCCTCCATGCCTTTGCCCACACTTCCCTACCTTGTACCCCAGTAACCAGGACAGGGCCTAGGACAAGGAGGGGAGTGGAGGCGGGGAAGGGAGAGGAAGAAGGGAGGGTTCCTGCAGGCCCTGTGCTAGGAGCTGGGGCTAGAAAGAGAAGTCATAGCTGGCCCTGCTCTGAGGAACCGCCCTTCTGGCAGGAAAACACTGTAACGGGCCTTGGGAGTGTGGTAAAGACAGGCTGGGTATTCAAGCCTCACTCACCAGGGGGATGTCGCAGAGAAGGTCAAGCTGCCGGAAGCCCTCCCCGCATTGCCAGAGCCGCACAGAGTTGCTGTGAGAGCCTGGGGGACAGGGAGACAGTGAGCACCCCCCTCACCAGCCCACCCTGAGATCCCCTCCTTTCTGCCACACAGGGCACCCACCTGTGGCCACGAGGTCTGTGTTGAGCAGGGCTGCCACCGATGACACCCAGAAGGGCTGCTCCAAGCCCAGCTCCCCCCGCAGCCCATGGGCCTCACGCTGCAGGGCAAGTGGCCGCTTCTTAGAGAGGCCCCACAAGGCTACAGAACTGTGGACAGGGAGCAGGGTCAGTGAGGGGGCCAGGGGCAGGGCAGAAGGGCCACATGGCAGGAAGGGACCAAGTGCACACCAGCCACAGGAAGCAGACAAGGTCCCCTGCACTCTTTGCCTCAATGTCCTCATCTATGGAAAGGGGTTACTACAGCTCCCGAGCAGGAGGATTCTATGCGGCAAGTCCAGGGGCAGTGGCAGTGGTAGAAGGCAGCTCTTACCCATCGTCTGCACCCGACACCATGTGCTCCTCGTTTATGAGCTGGATGCTGTCAATGGAGCCCCTGGAGAAAGGCACCATGAGGGGCGTGGCCCAACCTCACCCCCAGCCCATGCGGGTGGCCCCCTCAATGCCCGGTGCAGCAGGCCGCCTTACTGGTGGCCGTAGAAGACAAGCTGGGACTCCTCGGGGATCTTCCACACACGCACAGTCCCGTCCCGGCCCCCGGCAGTCACGCAGCACTCCCTGCTCAGAGCATCCAGTGCAGCCACAGCATCCTGGTGCCCGAAGCTGGAGAGGGGGACAGAGGGAGGATGGGGTCACCCGTGAACCTGCACGCACACATCCGCGTGCCCTCTGCCTACGCATACTCACAGCGTCTCCACGTAGGAGTTCTCCGCCACATTCCACACCTTCACAGAGCGGTCGTGGGACGTGCTGTAGAGCTGGTGGGTGCCTCTGCGGAATGCCAGCCCCTAAGGGTGCATGGAAAGAGGGCAAAAGGAACCTGGACTACAGCAGGAGACAGAGGTCAGGCCCAGGGAGGACGTCCTGAAAAGCAGGTCACGTGGCACAGGAAGCCAGCCCCCATCAAGAGCGCTGTGGGGCTCTACGTGGAGCCAGGGGCATACTTGCCTGCCCTCAAGCAAGTACAGACTTCTCAGGCCTCCCTCTCCCTAGGCAAGCTCGACTCAGTCTCCCCCAGCTCTTCCCTATTGCTTCACCCTGTTTCTGTCCTGTTCACCAAAGTGCAGGTTCCCTGAGGATGGGGACCCGCTGCCTCTTTCACACCATTCCCTGGATCCCAGTACCATGCCTGGCCCACTCGGGTGCTCGAGAAATGTCCACTAAAGGAGGCCCAGCTTCTCACCGACACGGCATCCCGGTGTCCCGTGAAGGTGTACAGGTGCTGGCAGCTCTGGGCCTCCCAAATGAGAATGAGCTTGCTGCGGTCACCCGAGGCCTATGGAGACAAGGGCAATGGCCATGGGCAATGGCCATGGGCACCCACCATGTGCCCACACCTCTCACCTACTCCCGGGGCCAATCCTGCCTTACCAGGTACTTGCCATCGGAGGAGATGGCCATGCAGAGGACGTGGCTACTATGGCCGGAGGGCTGCCCCTCAGCACCCTTCTTGGCTCGAGGGATCACATGAAGCTTCCGTCCACTTTCCACACTCCCTGACACCAAGGGGGAAGAGAGATGGTACTGGGACACAAGGCAGGACTGTCTGGCAACCCCCTCAAGGGCAGCGTGGCACCATGGAAAAACTCCTGGCCTCAGGCCAGAAGATCTGGTTTAGCCACTGTGAGCCCCTGGACAAGTCACCTCAGTTTCCTCATCTGTTAAATGGTGACAATAATCCCAAAGGGCAGCCATGAAGCCCGGAAGAAAAGGGACAGGAAAGTGCTTGGGACTGATGGTACGAGCTCTTCCTGTTACTACTATGGGTGGATGAGGACAGCCCTCAGTGGTCAAAGGCCAGGAACCCAGGAGGACCAGGAACTCAATCCCAGGACTGTGCAGAGCCTCAGCTGTCCTCTAGTCCAACTGCCCAACTGAAGCATCAACTCCCATTAAATCATCATCCTGCCTCCACTCCATCATCTCCAATGACATTGACAGGGAGCTCACAAGTCCCACTCCTGGGCAGAAGCTTCCACTGTCATCCAGAGAAAACCTCTTCGGAAGCAAACCTGTCTCCGGAAGCTTCCCCCGTCGGGTCTCAGTTTTCCCTGATTATTTCTTCCTCCCCAGACCAGCTAGCCCAGATGATCCCTCACGGCTGCACCCCCACCCAGGCACTCACTCACACTTAATAATGGTGCAGTCTTTGGCAGCAGAAAAGATGGCCAGGTCGTCAGGGGTGATAACCAAACATGTGATGGACAGCTGGTGGCCCCGTAAGATTCGAATGTCAGCAGGGTCTGGGGCCTGGATCTAGGCAGGCAGGGACCGGGTCACTGCAACTGGGGGCAGGAAGGCCCCCCTCCACACACACACATGCCATCCTTTCCCACCACACTGCCCAGAAGGAAAACTGGACCCAGGGCTGCCAAGACCAGGCCATTACCTGACCCTGTCTGCCCAAGTGCCCACTATGTTCCAGAGCAAACACCCCACAGCCTGAGTCCCCAGTTGGGCCATCTGCCCACCAACCCAGGTGATTCCCTCCAATCTGACACCAAAGTACCCTGTCTGCTCACCTCCTTTGCCACCGACTTCTGCAGCCTGCCTCTCTGCTCGAGCTGCATGGAGAGGAGAGGGGTGAGATCCCAGGAGCAGGACCAGCCCCATCCCTTCCCTCCCACCACCCTCCCTCCACACTCACCACGTCCTCCTTCAGCCTCCCTGCCACCTGGTCCTCCTCAAATTCGCGGGCCTCAGCCTTCTCCTCCTCTGTGTAGGACAGACCAAGCCAAGTAAACCCAGGCCAACAACACCCCACTTTTCCCTTCCCATCCCCACCCACCACCTCAGTCCTGGGCCCTGAACATTTGGGCTGTGTCCCATGGAAGTTCAGGCCACCTCAGCCAAAGGGGAGGGAGGGCTGGATGGTCTCCTGCCCACCCCCTGCCTTTACTTATCAGATCAGTCTGAAGCCCCCTGAAGGCCTGGCCCACCCCAGAAGATCCATTAGAGCTCCTAGCCACCCTCCCACAGGGCCGCCAGCAGCAGCAGCCCCAGCAGCCCACCGGCTACCTGCATCAGTCACCCACCAGGTGGCTGGGGCCACAGCAGGCAGACTCAGGCATAGGCCCCGCCCCTCACCTGCCCAGTCCACAGGCTCACCTTGCTGCTTGAGCTGCTCAAGGTAGAGCTTGGCCAAGCGCAGCTTCTTCTCCTGTGCGGTCTCCTCCAGCTCCTCCGCCTCCTCCTCCTCATTCCTCCTGGGAACTAGGCTGTGAGCAGGAGGAACTAGGCTGTGAGCAGGAGGGCTCGGCCCGCTCCTCTGGCCACTAGGACTGTGCTCCTCGCTGCTTCCCCAGTCACTTGACACCCCCATCCCTGCCAGCCCTCATGGCCAATGGTCTCACACACAGAAAACTGAAAGATGTGACTTAACGAAACTGAAAGGGCCCACCCAGGGCCCAACGTAAAGGTGAAAACAGACCCCAAACCCAGAGATCACTGGGAAATCTCTCAACTCTGGAGGGAAAGAGAAGGTTCTACAGGCTTCCAAGAAAAATCAGACCATATACAAAAGGTCAGGAATCAAAATGACTCCAGAAGCCTCAACAGCAACACTGAGAGCAGAAAACAAAGGAGCTGCACGTACAAAATTCGGAATAAAACGCTAACCACTGGAATGGCATGCCAGTTAAACCATTAATGATAAATGAAGACATTATCAGATGTACAAGGTGCCACAAAAGTGGTCCTTTCTCCTTCTTTTAAGGATGGAGGATGTGCTCCCTGAACAAGAGAGTGAGCTAAGAATGGGGAAGGCACGGGAGACAGGAAACAGAAGATCCAACATGGAAAGCAGAAACGGTAGATCTCAGAACAACAACGACCCCCCAGACACAGGGGAGCAGCCAGCCCAGATCTGATGCAAGGAACCAAGAGGCAGACGTGTTGGGACTATCAACGCCCCATCCTCACTGCCAAGGCACCATCCTCTACCCTGAGGATGGAATTCCAGGTGAAGCTTAACTGGGCCTGGCTTGACCTTGTGCTAGTGAAGTCCCTGCTTTCCCCTCCATGCCCCTCACTCAAGATGAGTCCTACTTTGACTTGCTCCTGGGAGCTGGAGGTAAGTCATGGGAACTCAGAAGCAGAAAACCCAGGGCAGCCCGTTCCCTCTGATCAAGTGCCTGCAGATACCTAGTCCCTGTCAGGTAGCCCAGTTGTTTCCTAGACTCATCCATGACCTTGCCCACAACTTCCCCAGAAACGACCTTGGAAATTCTCAAGGAAGCCAAGGACTGACCATGCTCCTGAGACCGGTTAGTACCCAGTGCCCAGCAAGTCTTCAGCCAACAGCGTTGGTGCTGCCCTTCCCTCATACACCAGGGTCTTAACTTCTACTCAGTTTACCCAAAGAATCAATCTATTGTTTCGCGTTCACACATAGAAGACAGATCTCTAAAGAAAACCAAAGCAAGTATACAACCATTGTAATTCCACTCAAATAACATTCTGGAAAAGGCAAAATTCTAGGGACAGCAGTTACTGGTTGGAGGGGGGTGGGAATTGACTGCAAAGGAGCCATGGGGGATTTTGGTGGGTGGTAAAACCCTTCTATATCTTTACAGTGGTGGTAGTTACACGACTATATGCGACTGTCACAACTCACAGAACAGTACACTAAGAAAGGTAAAAACCTACTGTATGTAGGTTATACCTGAATCAGAAAAGGGAAAAGAAAAAAAAGAAGAAGAATAAGGAAGGAAACCAAAGAAATGATTAACTTAAGTCAGGAATGGCAGTTGGGGCTTCTAAGTTTCTACGAATGGTCTAGTTCTGGTGGGTGCACAGAGGTTCATCATTTCATCATTACTCTCTATGGTACAATTACATTTCATTAACTCTTCTGTAGCTAATACATTTCACAACACATTTTTAAAATATTTAAAAGTGCTTAGCACAGGGCCTGGCACACACCCACAGTAACCTTAAGACTACAAAAAGTATTATATTAAGTCTTTCTGTGAGCAGGTTAAGGCCAACATGTACTCAACTTTTAGAATTAGAATTTCTAAAGCCAACTCTTAAGGAAGGCACCGGGATTCTCTGATATGACAGCTTCCATGCCACAGGGTCAGGCCTGATACCTTGCTAGCCCCCTCTGAACTCTGCAACATACTCCACCCCCATCACCTGCAGAATGGAGGAGGTACGCAAAGCCCTCCACAGTCCAGATGCACCCACTGCCTACCCTCCCATCCTCTTCATCTCCCATCTAGCCCACTTAGCCCCCAGACTTTTCTCTGGTCCCTGAATGCCTTCCCTACCTCTCCATGAGGAACCCCTCCTCATCTCTCCAGGCCCCATTTAAACTCCCCTTCTCTGTTCCGACAACACGCAGCTCTAAGATACACATCCCACCACAACACATTCCGTCTTCACCTGCCTGCTCATCTCTGTTCTCTCAACAGTGAAACTAGTGCCCGGCACTCTCAATAACTGTGAAATTGTGGGAGAAGAGAATGAAGAACTAGCAAGCATTTCTTGCATCCCTCTCCCCTTGCCTGGAGTTCAGCTCCCTGTCATGAAGGAAGGTCTCACTGGTCTCCCATTAGGACTGGGGGTCCTCCCCACACAGAGACCCTGCCCCTGCAGCGAAGGAAATGATAGTTCTCAGGGTCAAAAAGTGGAGGAAAGAATCAAGATCTGAGGATCAAGGGCCAGAGTCCTGGGTTCTAGGCCCAGCTCTAGCCCCCGTCATTGAGTACTTCTATACACAATGGGCCCCAGTGTTCTTTTCTACTAGGTGGAAAAAAAGAGCTCACCTCTCAGTCTCCGAGTCGCTGGAGATCTCCTCATTCATTTTGCCGCCACCCTTGGACTTGCCCTTGTCCCCAGAAGAGTCGCCCTAGGAATTATATAATACTTTCTTTGGTCAGACGTCCCGACCACCCCGGCTCGACCAAGAGCCCCTTAGAGTCCCTCGAGAGTCACTGGGAAAGGCGGTAGCCCCCGGCTCAAGTGAAAGGCTTTTTCAGTATTTGGCGCGCGGAGAACGGGACGAAGCTGACTCCAGCTGGGGTCCCGGGGTCGAGGGGACCGGTGCCGGGGCCCCCGGATGGGGATAATGGTCCAGTAACATAGGATGGACCCCGGCCCGCCAAAGCGCCGTGCTCACCTTTCGCCGCAACTTGCCGGCCCCCGCACCAGCCCCGGCCCCCGAGGCCGGCTTTCCCCTTTTGCGAGCCGCCCCAGTCGCCGACATGCTGCCCACTGTGTGTGTTGCGGCGGCTCCTGGCGAACTCACGTGGCGGCTGAACCCGGGCCGTCCCACAAGACTCCAAGCCAAGATAGGCTCCCACCGCCCGGTGGGCCCCGCCTCCCACAGCTCCATTGGGCCCTTGGGTAGGTTCTGTCTCGCCCCCAAGCGCCCATAGGATAAATGTCTGTGGCCCCGCCTCCTAGAACTCCTATAGGCTCCCGCGCCCGGCTCCAGTAGGAAGCAAGCCTCTCCCTGGCGCTTCCGACCAACGGCTGCGGCGCGTGCGCCCTGCCGCTGACTGACGTATGAAGAGGGGTCGGACCCCGACACCGTCTTTGTGTTTGCTCTCCTTGGACGTTGAGGGGCGCCAGAGACGCGGGATTCCTTTTCCTGGAAAGTGACTCCTCCCCGTCAGGGGCGGGGGCCAGGGTGAGAGAGTCTGACTCTAAATAACCGGGGCGGGGTAGAGGGATCCGGCAGCCCCCGGGAGAAGGCAATGCCCGCACCTGGGGCCAAGGTCACTGGACAACCGGTGGATACGTATTGCATGCCTCAGGCCAGATGAGCAGCTCTAAGGGCGCGTCAGTCCCCTGGGCCTTGGCTGTGTCCGGATCAAGTGTCCACCCATCCATGGGACAGGCTGCCTGCCCGCCTCGGCCTGCCCAGCCTCTGACTCACCAGACTGGTGGCCAAATAGCTGGAATCCTGCCCACACCCACTTCTTCCCCTCTCCCCTAAGGCTTACGGGAGGTTGTTAGAACTAGGACTGCCTGGGAGTTACTGACCTGGTGGCCACCACCTCTCCCAGGTCCCTGCTTCTCTTAGGTGAGTGCCCTGTGGCCTCTCCCACAGCCCTCCACAGGGCAGGGCAGGGCGGGTGTGACTGACCCTTGCCCTCTGGCAGTTCAATGCCACTGGTCTGGGACGGAGGCTGGCACCCCAGAACTCTTGAACCTGCTGGGAAGAGTTCCTGCGCTATTGGGTCCCAAGCTTTGGAGAGACAGATCTGGCCTTAGGAGTGCTAGCCCCCCGGGAGCCACTGCCCACTCTCCTCCATAGCTGGGGTGACTCAGCCCAGCAACCATGCCAGGTCCAAGTTAGCTGAGATGGGGGAGGAGCCCAGAAATGGGAGGGGGGAGATTCTCCTTTCACTTTCCCTTCAACCTCAGAACACACAAAAGAGCCATAGAGGGTGGAGAGCCCCTCTTCCTTGGCCAGACTGGGCAGACTGGACAGGGGCCTGGCCTGGCCCTGGTGACTGGAGAAAGGGGTGTATCTGGGGTGCAGAGAGCCGGTTTTGGTCAGGGACCGGGAGTGGGGAAATGGAGGCAGAGGGAGGTCACCAAAGGGCAATCTCAGGGTGGGGCAAGTTAGTGCTGTGCCAGCCAGGTGGGACGCAAAGGTCACGGATGCCTGAGGGCCCCCTCTGTGCCCTAGAACAGCCATGGCCCAAAGCGCAAGCCCCAGGTACAGCGTGAGGGTCCTGAGAAGAAGAAGGGGCGTCAGGGTGCGCAAGAGGAGGACAGTTTCCACTCCACTGCCGAGGCCCTCCACCCACAGAGAAGCGCATAGCCTAAGTGGACCCCCTGTGCCCACTCAGCTGCAACCCTGGGACCCAGGTAAGCTGTAGTCCCCAGCCAGTCCCAGTGCCTGCTCCCTCTTGGGTACAAATACACTCAGACCTCCTCCCCTCCCCCTTGGCTCTGGCCAAATAGCTCAAGGCTCCCAAGTAAACTGTGTTCTTCCAAGACCCCAAAGTTCAGGCAGGGCTATATTCCATCAGATCCAGGTGGGTCATGTCTGCTCTTCAGACCCCAGGACAGGCCCCTGAGCTTCTCAGTCTTCCCCCAACGACACTTAAGGCAGAGTTCCCAGACAGGGCCTCCTCTGACACCCCAGTGCAGTGTGATTCCTGTCAGTGTGCAGCCAGGTACCCCATCCCACCCGGGGGCAGCCGTAGCCAGCCTGCCCTCCGCACACCCACTCTGGCCACAGGTGCATGAAGACTACGACTGTACCCTGAACCAGACCAACACTGGGAGCAACAACAACAAGTTCTACATCATCCAGCTGCTGGAAGAAGGTGACTGCTTTATCTGCTGGAACCGCTGGGGGCGCGTGGTGAGTACCACCCACCCACCCTGTGCCCACATCCTCCCCACCTCTCCCTGCTCAACACATGGCCCCTGCTTCCCGGGGTCCCCACAGCTTACTCAGGCCAAAAGGCCACAGCCTCTGACTGTGCCCTGCCCCACCTCTGACATCCAGGGGCGCTCGGCACAGGGCCTGCACAGTAGAGGCCAGCAAACATTTATGGTGGGCACTGTGGTAGGCACACCTCTGAAAGCTGTTGCTTGCCGGGAGAGGTGGGCCAGTCAAAACTCAGCCGCTTCATGTCACTGGAGGATGCACAGAAGGACTTTGAAAAGAAGTTTCGGGACAAGACCAAGAACAGCTGGGCAGAGCGGGACCACTTTGTGGCCCACCCCAGCAAGTATACACTTATGAAGTACAGAGAGAGGATGAGGCCCAGGAAGCCATGGTGAAGGTGAAGTGGCCAGAGAGGGAGGGTGGGCCTGGGCCAAGGGAAGGGACAGCCATTGCCCAGCTGTATACCCTCAGGCACAGGCCTTCCTCTCTGGCCTCGGTCTGGCCAGGCCCTGCTCTAGGTGCAGGTGCCCTGCCCAGCTGCTCCTGCCCACGTGGGCCCTCTACCCCTAGGTAGACGGAGGCCCAGTGAGGACCGTGGTTCGTGGTTCAGCAAGTGCAGCCCTGCTCCCTGGACGCAGCCACACAGAAGCTCATCACCAACATCTTCAGCAAGGACATGTTCAAGAATGCCATGGCTGGGCTTCCCTGGTGGCGCAGTGGTTGAGAGTCCGCCTGCCTATGCAGGGGACACAGGTTCGTGCCCTGGTCCAGGAAGATCCCACATGCCACGGAGCGGCTGGGCCCGTGAGCCATGGCCACTGAGCCTGCGCGTCCAGAGCCTGTGCCCCGCAACGGGAGAGGCCACAACAGTGAGAGGCCCGCGTACCGCAAAAAAAAAAAAAAAGAATGCCATGGCTATCATGAACCTGGGTGAGGGGGGAGGAGCCAGGAAGGGTAGCAGGGGTCTGGGGGTGGCAGAGCTGTGGGCCTGACTCCCCACTATCCCCATCTCCCCAGATGTGAAGAAGATGCCCCTGGGGAAGTTGAGCAAGCAGCAGATTTCCCGGGGTTTGGAGGCCTTGGCGGCAGTGGAGGCGGCCCTGAAAGCCCCCGCAGATCGTGGTCTCAGCCTGGAGGAGCTGTCCTCCCACTTCTACACCATCATTCCCCACAACTTTGGCCGTAGCCAGCCCCCACCCATCAACTCCCCGGAACTTCTGCAGGCCAAGAAGGATATGCTGCTGGTGAGGGTTGGCAGGTTGCAGGCAGTGGGGTTACCAAACAGATAGATGGGGCAAGGGAGATGGGGGACAGATAGATTGACTGTGATGGGCAGGCCGAAGGACAGGGGAGGGGAAGGACAGACAGATAGATGGGGTGGGGCTGAATAAGGTGGGGTGGCCATGGTCCTATTTATGTGGGAGGGGGAGGGGAGGCCCAGGGTCAAGGGGACACACAAGCTGCCAGTGCCCATCCCCTTAGGTGCTGGCAGACATCGAGCTGGCCCAGACCCTGCAGGCAGCCCCCGAGGAGACAAAGAAAGTGGAGGAGGTGCCACACCCACTGGACCGAGATTACCAGCTCCTCAAGTGCCAGCTCCAGCTGCTGGACCCAAAGGCGCCTGAGTACAAGGTGGCCCGGTCCCCACAGAGGAGCCAAGCTAGCAGTGGGCACTGGCCCTCTGCCTGTCTGCCCTCCAGGTGCCCAGAAGAATCCCTTTCCTAGGGCCTTCTCTCGCTGTGTCTCCAGGGCCTGAGGAGAGCTCTGGGACTGCAGGGGACAAGTGGAGGTTAGTCCATACATTTCTTGCTCTTGGCACCCAGTTTTTTCTCTCCCCGCAGGTGATACATCCCTGCTTGGAAAAGACTGGCAGCAAGTACAGTTGCCCTGCACTTCAACATAGTTGGACAGTGAACCGAGAAGGGGAGGTGAGGAAGATTCCCTCCCCACCATCACTACCTTGTCCCTTAGGGAGATGACCTTGGCTTATCTTCCCTTTAGTGAGTTGGCTGAGAAACTCTGACCAGTTTCCACCAGGCCTAGGTCTTGTGCATGTGTGCATGAGTATGTGAGTGACTAGGGAACCCTTGGCCTTGGTCATACCCTCTGATGGCAGACAGAAACACCTGAGCTTGGGTGGCATGACTCTCCCGGTTCCCATCTCCCCCCCTAGGGAGATCAGTTCCAGGCCCACGACAAGCTGGGTAATCGGAAGCTACTGTGACACGGCACCAACATGGCTGTGGTGGCCGCCATCCTCACCAGAGGGCTTCGCATCATGCCACATTCTGGTGGCCGTGTTGGCAAAGGCATCTACTTTGCCTCGGAGAACAGCAAGTCAGATGGCTATGGTGAGGTGTCCCTCAGAGCCAAGCCCTGAGTGGGTATGGGGACACTAAGGAGCATGGGGCCCATTACTTGTCCCACCTGCAGTGGATCCAGGAGAGGACCCCTCGGATAGTTACTGACTAGAGAGCTCTGTGGGGCATCCTGGGGGTTGGGGGACTCAAAGGAGGCATCTGTTGGTCAGCGACAGCTTCCTGGAGAAGGTGATGCAGATGGGATGAGTGTGCCAACCTGACCTGGGAGGGGGTGAAAGAGGAGCCTTCAAGGTAAAGCAACCAGGGAGTGGCACAAAGCCTGGGAGGCTGCGGCAGGTCAGCACCTCCAGGCACAGCCTGATGACAAAGCTTAGAGCAAATGCCTAGTGTGGGTGTGGGGCTTGGGGGCCCAGGAGGATCAAGGGAGCCTTATTCAGAAAGTGATGGGGAGTACAGTTGAACGTGGCTGCAGCCGTTGGGAGGGTGGCAAAGGCCAGAGGCTGCAGGGAGGCTGTGTTCCCATCCAGGCCAAATGTGATGGGCCCCCAGCCCAGGGCAATGGAGGCGGAGGAGAGAATCCATGAGAGGAGTATGTGGGAGGTGGGATGGGCAGCATTGTGGGAAAGGGTCGAGGGTGTGTCTCTAATGACCCCCAAGTTTCTGTCCAGGGGTGTCCTCACTGAGGTGACCTGCCCCTACTGGCTTCTCAGCCCAGGTTGACCTCATTATTGGAGACCACTGCCCTCCACCACTCAAGAGACCAAGGTCGGAGGATTCATCCAAGTGCAGATGGAGCTGAAGGTTGCTCAAGGCCAAGGCGTCCACTAGGAGGGCAGAGGAGCCTAAGAAGAAGTGGAGGGTGGCCTCAGGAGAGCATTGCAAGGGGGTCTCAGGGTAGAGGGTGAAGGATGCCGTGGCAAAATCAGCAGAGCAGGCCTGAAAAACCCCCACCCCAGATATGGTCACTGGAAGGCCATTACTGACCTTGGTGAGGGTGGCAGACGCCTGGACTCTGGGAGTTGAGCAATGGAGGAGAGAGGGAGGAGGGAGCACAGCCAGGACAAGGGGCCTGGAGAAATGGTTGGAGGAAGGATGGAAGAAAGATGGGTACTTTTCTGGGCCAGGGCAGCAAAGCCAAAGGAGATAACAATGCAGCAGAGAGGAGCCCAGGGAGTCAGGCAGAGAGCCGGTCTGCCTACCCTGAGCCTCCCTGTGTCCCCCAGTTACTGGCATGTCCTGCGGGGCCCATGACATTGGCTACATGTTCCTGGGTGAGGTGGCAGTGGGCAGAGAGTACCGCATCGCCGTCTACGAGCCCAGCTTGAAGCAGCCACCCCCTGGCTTCGACAGTGTCATTACCCGTGGCCACACAGAGCCTGGTGAGTCCCATGAAGCTGGACAGGCATAAGGATAGAGGTGAGGCTGAGATGGAGCACGATGCTTTCAGGGAGGAGGTGAGCAAGGAAGGGGCTTGTGAGGAAGGACGAAAAGAAGCAGGATTCTTCAATGCAGTCATTCACTTTATCATTCAACAAACATTCACTGATTCAACAAATCTTTCCTGGGCAGCCAGGAGAGCTTCAAAGAAGAGGTGTCATTGACTGAGCATTGAAAGATGAGCAGGCATTTCCCAGGCAGAGAAATGGGGGAGGAGATTCCAGGCAGAAGGCCCAGCCTATGCAGCGGTTTGGAGTTTGGCAAGGTGGGAATGAGTGGGCACTCCCTGTGGTAGAAGTAGAGAGCACAGGGGGTAGGACTTACCGGTAAAGCCAAGGACCAGTGACCCTTGGGTCATTCATGGCCCTTGCTGTGCCCTGCAGTTCCAACCCAGGACACCAAGCTAGAGCTGGATGGGCAGCGAGTGGTGGTGCCCCAGGGCCAGCCCATGCCCTGCCCAGAGTTCAGCAGCTCCAGCTTCTTCCAGAGCGAGTATCTCATCTACCAGGAGAGTCAGTGCCGCCTATGCTACCTGCTGGAGGTTCGCCTCTGAGCTGTCTGCCTGACCCGCCTCCCGTCCACCGCCAGGAGCTAGACCATCATCCTCAATCTTCCTCCCATCCCTGGTGGCCCCATATCACCCCTTCTTGCTCTCAAACCTCCCTCCTGTGTCCAGACAGTGATCCCCTCTCCCTCTAATCCTTGTTGGTCCTGGCATGGCTGTGGCCTCAGTCTCACCTCCTAAGGTGATGGGTGTGATGGATTGGCATTATTACTGGGACACGGATACAGCAGCCTATTCAAGCCTGTGTAGTTAGAGGGGCACAGGCTGAGAGTGGGCAGGTCCCACAACCACCCGGGCCATCCACCCTGGCCCAGACTGTCCATCCAAGAGAGGTGTGATCACTGAGGTGAGCTGAACTTCAGACATGCACAGGCAAGTGCACATTGTATTGGCTCACCCCCCTGACCTCTGCTTGTCTGTGCCAAAGCTGCACCAGGCCTGGGCCTCCTTGCTCTCCACAGTGACCCACCACACCACATAGCAGTTCCAGCCCCACTCCAGGGAGTGACCACTCACACGGAGGACGTGGGTTGTACACACACTCCCACCCACCCTGGTCAGTCTACATTGGTCACTGCAACGACTGGCCTCCTCTGATCATTGAGCCTCCAAAAGGGACCCTCCCCATCAACTCAGAACTGTTGGTCATGTGGGGACCCACCTGGTGATTCTGTCCTTTAGCCCAGACGTGGCCAGGCAAATCAAGCATTCCTTGTGTCTTGGCACCAAACACCCATGTGTGTCTTCTATGTGAATATCATAAATGAATTGAGAATATCTGCAAGCGGTGCAGCTCTGCTGTCATGAAAGGAATGCTAGTTATCACCCCAGGCTACCCTGTCCACAAACAAGGGGTACAGATGCTAGACAGCAGGTCAGGGTCCAGTGCAGTGTCACACACCACATTTAGTTGTCATGTCTCTTTGGTCTCCTTTCATCTGAAACCATTCTTCAGCCTTTTTTTTTTTCCTTCATAACTTTGACACTCTTGACACTACTGAAGAGTACAGGCCAGTTGTTTTATAGACTGTCTCTCAGTTCGGGTTTGTCTGATGTTTTGCAGTGATTAGATTCAGGCATTGCAGTTTGGGCAGGAACATTACATGAATGCTGTGTCCTCGGTGCACTGTATCAGGAGGGACATGTCCCATTCTTGGTGATGTAAATTTGGTTGCTCAAGGTCGTGTCCACCAGGTTTCTCCACTGGGAAGTTCCCATTTCCCCCATTTTTAATTAATCAGTAGTCTGTGGGGAAATATTTTGAGGTGTAAATGTTCCATTCCTCATCAACTTTCACCCACTAGCTTTAAAATCCAATGATGATTTTTACCTGAAATCGATGACTTGAATCGATTTTTGCTAAGATGGTTGCAAATGATAGTTAAATAATTTAATTCCATCATTTCTTCTATATTTATTAATAATAGCCCCCTTTGTTTATTATCAGTATGGATTTGTGGGTTCCTATTTTATGCAATGGGTTATAATCCATTACTGTTATTATTTTGATCCTCAAATTGTCCCAGCTTTGGCCAGCAGAAGGTCCTTTAAGCTGACTCCTGTGTCTACATCATTTTATGAGCACTTCCTTATGTTCTGGTATCACACGATGTTCCAGGCTCATCTTGCACAAACCTAGAATCAGCCATTTCTCCAAGGAGCCCTGGTTCCCTAGAGCAGGAAATGGTATTTAGAATCCAAGATCTGGGCAGTAGGTATGCTCTTTGGTACTGGGTGTCATTGCTTTTCAGTCCCAGTAGCAAAGAGGGCTAGGAAATATGTATATGTAAATAAACACATCTATCTGTGTCTGTTTCTCCAATTCCAATCCAACACCATATGGTCTTTCCATTCTTCCCCATATCCATAATTTTACTCCCTTCTCCAACTGTCAGAACTTTGGTTCTCATCAACATCAGTATATTTACTTATTTGCTCAATCCCACACAAAAAGCAGTTTCAGAATTGCTACACCCAATACCATTGTGAAAAACAAACTTTCTAATTAGAGCTCAAGATTTACTGAATCAGTCAAGATTATCTTTTTGTCTTTAGACTGAGGGTCAATGGTCAAAGCAACAATTTGAACACAGGTTCAAATGTTACTTGGATTAGTTATTTATTTCCCTTCAGTGTGGTTATACTATTCATTTGAAATGCTGGTAGGTTCATTTGCTTCTATTTATATTCACTTTCAGGGTTTTTCTCATCTTTGTTGATTTATTTTTTTCAACATGCAGAGCATTAACATGGTCCTCAAAAGTCCAATCTATCCAAATCTATGCTCAGAAGAGTGTCCTCACTCCATGCCCACCCACCTGCTGTAGTTTCTGGTTTATCCTTCCTGCATTTCTTTGGAAAAAAACCAAAAAACAAAAACAGACGAACTACAAAGTGTTTTGTGTGTGTGTGGGTTTTTTTTTTTGGCCGTGCGGCATGCAGGATCTTCCCCAGCCAGGGATCAAACCCGCACCCCCTGCAATGGAAGCATGTAGTCTTAACCACTGGACCGCCAGGGAGGTCGCAAAGTGTTTTTTTTGTTTTTAATAAATTTATTTATTTTATTTATTTATTTTTGGCTGCATTGGGTCTTCATTGCTGCACGCGGGCTTTCTTTAGTTGCGGTGAGCGGGGGCTACTTTTCGTTGTGGTGAGCGGGCTTCTCATTGCGGTGGCTTCTCTTGTTGTGGAGCACAGGCTCTAGGCGCGCGGGCTTCGGTAGTTATGGCACACAGGCTAGTTGTGGTGTGCGGACTCAGTAGTTGTGGCACATGGGCTTAGTTGCTCCACAGCATGTGGGATCTTCCCGGACCAGGGCTTGAACCCATATCCCCTGCAATGGCAGGCGGATTCTCAACCACTGCACCACCAGAGAAGCCCTTGTTTTGTTTTAATTTATTTATTTAATTTATTTATTTTTGGCTGCATTGGGTCTTTGTTGCTGTGCGCAGGCTTTCTCTAGTTGCAGCGAGTGGGGGCTACTCTTCGTTGCAGCATGCATGCCCCTCACTGTGGTGGCTTCTCTTGTTGCGAAGTATGGGCTCTAGGCGCGCGGGCTTCAGTAGTTGTGGCATGCGGGGTCAGTAGTTAGTTGTTGTGGCTCATGGGCTCTAGAGTGCAGGCTCAGTATTTGTGGGCGCATGGGCTTTGTTGCTTCACGGCATGTGGGATCTTCCCAGACCAGGGCTCGAACCCGTGTCCCCTGCATTGGCAGTCAGATTCCTAACCACTGCACCACCAGGGAAGTCCCTCCCAAAGTGTTTTAATTGCTAATTTAGTTGAATGATTTTGCAGGGAGCATGCACTCTCCAACCCACCATAGTCCCCATCCCTCCCTATTGCCTTCCCCAGTCCCCTGTTCTCATTTGCTTTCCCACCTGGCCCTGCTGAGCCCTCCCCAGACCTTGGTGGCTTGGAGGCTGCCCCAGGCCTGCAGGCCTAACTGGGCAGTGAGAAAGCCAATGCTCTCTCCTTCTTCTGAACCAAGACCTCAAGAATCCAGCTTCACCTCCTGGAGGCAAATGCCCACATTCAAGTTGTGGTCAAGTACAGGAAGTGGTGCCTGTGTGGACAGAACTTAGGAAGCAGGCGACCTGGTTTCCAGGTATAACTTGGCTGTGTAATCCAGAACACATTCCTTCCCTCTCTGAGCACCAGTTTTCTCATCTGAATAATAGAGAATTGGACCGGGGCCCTTCGAATTCCAGCAACAGGTGACTCAAATCCAGAGGTTCATGCCCTGTTGTCTGCCACCCAGATCTGTGCTGATGCGGACTGCGTGCCTATGAGGGGTTCTAGGGACACAGGCACAAGCAAGACACAGACAAGGTCCCTGCTCTCAAGGGGCTTGCATTCTAATAAAACAGGATCTAAACAAGTATGTGCATAGATATGAAATACAATATCAGGTAAGAAAAGTACCAGGAAGAAAAATAAAGCAGGGTTAAAGAAGTAGTGATGGGAAAGTGGAAAAATTTTAGAAAAGATGGTCATTGAAGGCAGAGACCTGAATTAGGTGAGGAAGCAAGCCATGGAGAGATCTGGGGCAAGGGTGTTCTGACAGAGGAAACAGCACATGCAAAGATCCTGAGGTGGAAACCAGTTTGGCATGTGGGAGGACAAGCATGAAGACTGTACGGCTGGAAGTATGGGAGGCAAGGAGGAGGCAGGTGAGGTCAGAGAGGTGGGGAGAAGGCCATCTCAGCAAAGAGGAGGTGAGATTCTATTTTGATGATGGGAAGTTCTTGGAAGGATGAGTGCAGGATCATGACCTGATCTCATTTGTCTTTAGAGGGATCCACTTCAGCCAGCTGTGTAGAGAGTGGATCTATGGTGTCAGTCAAGATCCAATCAACAAAAGAGAAATCACTCTATGTATTCCAGACAAGAGGAATTTGATACAGGGAAGGAATTGAACTACCAAAGGGGCTGGTAAGTCAACCCTGGGATTAGCAACAGCAGGAAGTTGCTACCACTCTTAGGCTGGAAGAATGATGGTATTCCAATGCCCAGAGGCCAGGGTCACCCAGCAGGCACCAGAACCCCAGAGGGGACTGCCTGAGGGGAGCCAGGGCTATGGAGAGAGAATGTCCTCCACAGAGGCAGATCCAGCGGTATATCCAGGCTGAGCATGAAAGGGAAAATACCCTGGCTTCTTCCCTCCTGCCACCCTCCAGCCTTCTGCTGGTAACTTCCATTGGCTGAATTTACCCAAAAACCAAATGACAAAGGAGCCTGAGAAATCAGTTTCTTAGAAGGCAGAGCAGTGCTGTGGAAGATGGGAATGGATCTAAGGGCAAACAGACAAATGACCAGCACAAGGTGCAGAAGCAGAGGCCAGGACGGATCTGAAATGGTCCAGGTGAGGGGTGATAGTGGCTGGGAGCATGGTAGTGGTGGTGAGAAATGGCTGGATTCAGACACATTGATGGATTGGATGTGGTGCGTGGAGGAAAGGGAGGTGTCAGTGGAAACTTCTGAGATGGCATTTACTAAGGGGGGAAGACTCTGTGGAGCAGATTGGGGTGGGGGGTCATAAGTCAAGTCCTGTTTTGGGGCATAGGACTTTTGAGATGCCCAGTTGACCCTGTACTGGGGGTGATGTTGAAGAGACAGCTGGAAACCCAAGACTGGGGTTCAAGGGAGAGGAAGGAGCTTCAGACACAAAGGCAAGCCATCAGGGTATACATGGGGTTTTGCCATGGGACTGGGTGACACCACCTGGGGGGCATATGCCCCATTGGAGTCACATGGCTTTCCCTGAGCCAATACCTTGGTGGTGGGGGGTGCAACACACTGACTGGCCAGGACTGGGTTTCATGCCTAGTAAGGAATGTGATATGAAAGGTGAGGGTCTTGCTCACCCAAACCACATGTCCTGACTTGCGGAGAGGTGGCTTCCTAAAGAAAACTCAGAGTGTGCTTAGCAGAAGGGGACTTGTTTCCTAACAGCAAAAACAAAACAAAACAAACAGCAGTTGCTCCCTAAGGGTTCCTCTCATTAATTCCACAGTGTCTTGAAGCACCTATTCTGTGCCAAGCTAATACCAGCTAAGCAACCTACTATGTGCCAAGTCCTGTGCTTTTCCCCTCACTTTACCTAGAGAACTAGCCCTCCTGAGGACCAGAGGGTACCTAGGGGTCTCCCAGCTCCAGCTTTTGTCTCACTGGAGACAAAACTCACTCACTCAGTTTCCCCTCAGTACAAAGGCTGAATGATCCGATTAACCCCACTGATGGGGATGGCGGAAGACAGCAGATGTGGGGGGCGGCACTTCCCACCCCTGGAAAAGGCAGAATAGGATGTGGCTGACTCCAAAGCCCACACTCTAATGTCCTGAGTCTCACTCCAGCCTGTGCCTGCTCTGGGCCCCCCTCCCGAAGCACCCACAGCACTTCCACAGCACAGCCTTCAGCCTCCAGCTGGCAGCTGCTAGGACCCAGGGGGCCGGTGCCAGGCCCTGCCCCTCCCTTGCCAGCTCTGTGTATCTCCAAAGGGCAGCATCAAAGTGACAGCCAGTACCATCTCCAGCAGGGGCTGAGTTGCTGGGGTGGAGGAGAGAACCACAGTCCCAGCCTTGCACACTTCCATGGGGCCGGCCAAGCCCCCAAGAGAATGGCAGCCTGGGTGTCTGAGCCAGCACCTGGGCAGCCTGTGAGGTGAGAGGCTAGAGGAGCAACGGACGGGTGATGGGAATGGGGCCGGGGGTGGCGAGGGGCAGGCGGGGGAAGCTCCATTTCGCTCTCTGCATCCCAGCACAGGGTGAAGCCTGAGCGCTCGAATGGCCAACGCCACAGGGCTGAACGCACCAGAAGTCGCAGCCTCGATGGGGTTGATCCTGGCGGCTGTCGTGGAGGCGGCAGCACTGCTGGGCAACGGCGCACTGCTGGTTGTGGTGCTGCGCACGCCGGGACTACGCGACGCGCTCTACCTCGTGCACCTGTGCGTAGTGGACCTGCTGGCTGCCGGCTCCATCATGCCGCTGGGCCTGCTGGCCGCTCCGCCGCCAGGGCTGGGCCGCGTGCGCCTGGGCCCCGCGCCCTGCCGCGCGGCACGCTTCCTCTCGGCGGCGCTGCTGCCCGCCTGTACGCTCGGGGTGGCGGCGCTCGGCCTGGCGCGCTACCGCCTCATAGTGCACCCGCTGCGGCCCGGCGCGCGGCCTCCGCCCACCCTCGTGCTCACCGCCGTGTGGGCGGCGGCGGGGCTGCTGGGCGCGCTCTCCTTGCTCGGGCCGCCGCCCGCACCGCCCCCTGCCCCGGCTCGCTGCTCTGTCCTGGCAGGGGGCCTCGAGCCCTTCCGGCCGCTCTGGGCGCTGCTGGCCTTCGCGCTGCCCGCCCTCCTGCTGCTCGGAGCGTACGGCGGCATCTTCCTCGTGGCGCGCCGCGCTGCCCTGCGGCCCCCGCGGCCCGCGCGCGGGTCCCGGCCGCGCTCCGACTCTCTGGACAGCCGCCTCTCCATTTTGCCGCCCCTTCGGCCTCGCCCGCCCTGGGGCAAAGCAGCCCTGGCCCCGGCGCTGGCCGTGGGCCAGTTCGCAGCCTGCTGGCTGCCTTACGGCTGTGCGTGCTTAGCGCCCGCTGCCCAGGCCGCCGCGGCCGAGGCGGCCGTCACCTGGGTAGCCTACTCGGCCTTCGCAGCGCACCCCTTCCTGTACGGCCTGCTGCAGCGCCCTGTACGCCGGACGCTGGGCCGTCTCGCCCGACGAGCGCTACGCCGGCCCCCGCGGGCCTGCACTTCGCGGGCCTGGCACCCGCGGGCCCTCCTGCAGCACCTCCATAGACCTCCAGAGGGCCCTGTCCTAGGCCCTTCTGAGGCACCAGAACAAGCCCGGGATTTGGCAGGAAGGGAGAGCCTGAGCATGCCAGAGGCCACGTGAGAGATGTCTCCCAAGGTGAGCCGGGACTGGAGAAAGCAGGGTGGTATCACAAAGGGCCCATCCAGCCTCCAGCACAGCTTATGGCAGGTAGCCTGCCTGCACTTCGGGCTCTGGAATGGGAGAAAGGGAACCTGCAGCCAAGTGAGGCCCAGAGGCTTCTGGGAGCTAGGAATCCTGAGTTCTGGGCCCAACTCTGCATGGCCTTGTACACAGACCTACCCTTCACTAGGTATCAGTTTTCCCATCTGTACCCTGGACCATCTCTAAGGGCTCCTCCAGCTTGGGTGATCAGGACACTCATGGATGATCCCCAGGCCAAGGAAGAAGCAGAGGTGGGCAGGATCACAGAGGGCCCTAATGGCTCACAGCCAAAGGGAATGGGCCAAGTAGGGCAGGGTCTGGGTTACAGCCACAGCAGGAGGAACCAGTGAAGGGACATTCAGAAAGACCTCCTGCACATCTGCACCAAGGAGAGGCTGGACAAAACTACTGGAACTCCTCCATCAGCTTCTAAAAATGCCCAGAAAACAACTGGATCGCTTTGGTGCCAGAGGCAGGAGGCTGGACAACATGACCCCCCAAAGAGCCCTGAAGCCCCAGAACTGGCATGTGGAAGGGGCGAGGCCCAGCTGGGGCTGATGGAGTCACAGATGGGGGTCCTCTGGGGTCTCAGCTACACCCGTTTTCTGGAGGTTTTGCCAATACCCACAGTGTTTCACAGCTTCCTGGTCTCTCAGAATATTTATTCAAAAACAGGAATTGAAAAAACTGTACAGAGTGTCTGCTGCTGAGAACTCGGCCCCTGCCCCCATGCCACTCCCCCAGCTGCCTGGCAGTGCCCCCTCTTCGGGCTGCCCTCTGCCAAGCCCAGCCAGTCCATTCCAGTCAAAAGGGTATCAGTGGAAGCAGCAGGAATCTGCAGGGAGGTGGGGAGAGAAGCATGGCCCCCAGCCGCCCCCAGGCCTCCCCCCTGATCCCCACAGGGGGACAGGAGGCAGGGAAGCCCTGAGGGATGGGGAGTGCATGAGTGACCCCCGCAAAGTGGGGGCACTTAGGATGCTCCCTGCATCCAAGCACAGAGCTAGAGGGGATCAAGACCCCTACCCTGGGGCTGCTGCAGCTCCCAGAACCCTGGGCCAAAAACAGCCCCCACTCCGAGAGCAGGAACTCCCACAGACCGGGGCAGGGTCGGGGGGTGCATCCATGCGTCTGGGCATTAGCGGCATTTGGGACCCCCCCCCCGGGGTGGAGTCTCCTTGGGCAGATAGTGGAGGCAGCCCCCTGCCGGCAGTCCTGCCTGCTCCCGTGCCTGTGCCTCAGCTGGCCTCAGTAGGGGGAGAATTTCTGCCGCTCAGCTTTCTTGCTCCCATTGGCCGCTGCCATCTTGGCAGTGTAGGCCGCCAAGCCCGGCGGTGGCCCTGGGGAGGCAGGTGGTAGAGCCAAGAAGGGTACAGGCTTGAGGCCGATGAAGTTGGAGAGGGAGATGGCATAGGGCGTGCCCAGCAGGCCTGGGGGAGCGGTGGGCAGGGCCGTCAGGGGTGGCGAGAAGGGGGCAGGCAGGTCTGTGGGGGCCGAGCCGGGTGTCCCCCCAGAGGTAGACTTGGCCGTTTCTAGACTGTAAAGAGTGATAGAGAGGGAAGATGAAGGGGAAGGTCGGGGGTGAGAAAGGAGGCAATGAGGGCAAATATAAGGGGTGAGATTAGATGAAAAATAGAGAGGACTTGAGAACAATAACCTGGGGTGGGTGTGTTTGAGGAGATGATGGGAAAGATTGGAAGAGCGCGGACGGGAAGAAAGGACAAGTAAATATAGCATTGGGTAAGGGGAGAAATGGGGAGGCCGAAGACCCAGGGAAAAGAGACAGGGTTGGAGAAACAGGACATGGGGGACAGATGTATGGGGAAGATGGGGCAACACTGAACAAGTGTGGCAAGGTTAGGGGAGGCAGAGGACAGGCCCAGGAGAAGGGAGGTCAGCTCTCCCCACCCGACCTGTGCCTTTCTCAGGCACAAAAGTCCCATGACCTGTGATACCCCACCCCACACTCACCAGGCAGTGATGAGGTACTGGGCCAGGGCGATGGACACTGGTGAACCAGTGATGGTCACGTGCCGCTCACCAGCGCCCTCTGCTTGGTTCCCGATCTTGATATGTGCCCCTGACATCTGACGGATCTCACTGATCTTGCTGCCCTGGCGCCCAATCACGCAGCCAATCAGCTGGAGAGAGGGTGGAATTCAACCCTAGGTGAGGCCCAGACGCCCCAGGCCCCCCTACCCACCCTCAAACTACCCCATCCCGTGCTCACGTCGTTGGGAACCAAGAACTCCTGTGAGCTGGTCTGTGTGCCAGGATCCAGTCCTGCTGGGGGGAGAAGAGGGATTGGGCGTGAGTCTGGACCTTTGCTGCCTCCCCATGTCCTTTCCAGAGGGGCTACCTGGCCCCTTGGGATCTGCCCCTGCTTCCTTCTGCAGGGACTGCTCACCTGGCACCATGCTGGGTGAGGCGAAGGGGACTGCGTGGCCCGAGAGCTGCTGGAGCTTGGTGACCTGTGCCAAGAAGAGGGGTCAGGAGTCAGAGGAGGCTCAGTTCGGGAAGGGGTGCCTTGGGCTGCGGTCACTCACCTCAGCTGAGGTCACAGCCCCATACTGACCCTGGACGGAGAAGCCCTGTGGGGACAAAGTGGGTAAAAGGGGGTTACTGTGATCAGGGCAGTTTGGCCAGAGTCACCCCTCCCCACCTCTCCCTGGACCCCCAATTCCTTCTTCCATCCCCTTCCCCAGTAACACATCCCACCCCTCCTGCTGTTCCCCCTCACCTGGTTGGTGGAGAGAAGGACAGTACCTAAGGAGAGGCTTGGATGATATGGGATAGTGGCTCCTTTGGGTGGGGACTGGAAGGCACAAAAGGGGAGGCTCTATCAGGACCTTCTCAGGCCTCCCCTGACCTCTCCAAGGGCCCTGTGTTCTCAAGGCCCTCTCTATAACCCCCAGGTAAATGCAAGCCGACATCCTGGAGCTTCTCACATCCATCCTTGCAGCCCCACTCTATCCCCACCTGGTGTCACGTGGGACTTGAGGGCCTGACAAGGCAGGCCCAGGGCCCATCCCCTGCCCTCTCTCCCTGCCCCAGGGCAGCACCTCCAGGATGACAGCACAGATCTGGCGCACACACAAGATGATGGCATCAGGCACCCCAGAGACGGTGACAGCACGCTCTGTGGAGTTGGGGAGCAGGTCCCCTGCCACCTGCACCTGGGCACCTGTAGTCTGCAAGCAGAGAACGGGGGCCACTTTCAGCTACTCCCATAACCCAGAGCATGCCTAGGCTCGGAGCTCCCCACAGGACAGGAAGCTGTAAGCCCAGGTCTCCCCTCGAAACTGAAGGGTAAGACTCTCTTGGGGTGGTACCCCTTCCCCTCACCTCTCGGATCTCCTTGATCTTGGTGCCAGCCTTCCCAATCAGCGAGCCACACTGGCTTGCAGGGATGACAAGGCGCAGGGTCACTGGAGGTCTGGAGACATTCCCCCCGTTTGCAGGAGCAGCGCAGAGGTCCTGGGCAGGAAGACTGGGTTGGCCGTGCATGCCCCTACTGCTCCCCCTCCCCTGGAGCACCTTCTTGCTGGGGGATGAAGGAGGGAAGCCTGCCCGCGTCCCACTCCAATGAGAGAACCCTGCCCTCAGCTTGGCCTTCTGTCCCACCCGTAGCCACTCCGTGGAGTCAGAGTCCTGTTCCTCCCGGGGAACCACCTGTGGCCCGCAGCCCCTCAGACAGCCACAGACCTCATCCAGCTTGAAGGCAATCATGGAGACTGCATGGAAGACGGCTGCTGTAGATCCGGTGATGGTGGTGATGCGCTCAGGGCAGGAGCCCTCAGAGATGGTGATCCGGGCGCTGCTCTGTGGGTACAGGACAAGCGCCAGGCAACGGGGCTCCTTCTCTGCTTCCTGGCCAAGAACTTGCCTGCCCCTCCACTCACCAGGCCCCAGCCAAGGCTGGAAACGGCCACCTTCTAGGGGCACTCACTGGTCATCCCAGATGGTGGATTCAGGGACAAGGTGAGGCAGGCATCTCCCCTCCCCTCCAAACCAGGTGCCCTGGGCTCCTCTCCCAAACTCCGTCCTCACCTGTTCCCGGATTCGCTTTACAGTCTCTCCTTTCTGCAGGAGACAAAATAGGAGGCAAAATAGAGAATGGCTCTTAGGCCAAGCAGCCGTTGATTCCTTTCCTGGACTGAGGTCTCAGGTTGAAGGGGACATACAGAACAGAACGAGGTACCTACCTTCCCAATTATGCTGCCCACTTCCTGCAAACAAGACAAGAGTGGAGTCAGCAGGGTACCAATACCCCAGGCCCAGCGCTTGCCCCTACTTCAGGCAGGGGCTCTGCAGGAGACAGGATACCCAAGATCAAACTCCCTCCCGGAGGACCAGGTCTTGCCTCGCCTTGCACTTTGCCCCCTCCTGAGCCACAGCGAAGCACTCCCCCACAAGCACTTACTTTCCCATGCATCAGCATCCGCAGTGTGAGGGTGATGCTGAGCTCTGGCTCCTCCTCCAGCCCCGCGTCTGAGCCGCTCATCCTGTCAGGCGGGGCTGGGGCCGAGGCCGCCTGGGAGTGCGTCCACGCTGTGGCCTGGCCGGCTCTGCGGGGGGCAGTGGGAGATGGGTTAGAGAAGAGCTCAGCTTTCTTTCAGGTCCCTTGCCCTTACATGGGAACCCCAGAGCCAAGCTAGATAAACTTCCAGAGCAGAGAGACAGCGTGGACCACAAGTTTCAAGTGTCACATTGACCAGTTTGCTGTGTGCAGCTCACTAGCTGTGTAAGCCTGGCTGACATATTTAACCCTTCTGAGCCTCAGCTTCCCATCTGTAAGAAGGGGATACCCAATCCAGTCCCCAGAGTTATGAGAATTAAAATGAGATAGGTGCATATGTGATAGGCACCCAGTTTCCACAAGTATCCTTCCCTTCCCCTCGTACGTCAGGAGAATTAACTATGGGAGTCCAGAGAGGGAGCCTCCTACCTGACCTCTTGGAAGAGGGGACCCTTGTCGATTGGCCCTTGAAGGTTGGGTTAAAATCGAAACGTTACTTCAAATGGGAGGCACTTGCGTCCAGGGACCAGAGCCCCTGCTGGCTAGAGCCTGGAGGAGCAGCTGGAGAGGGAGCCGGAGCAGCCACGGGAGCCATGGGAGGTCTTGAAAGGTGGGCAGAAGTGAAGGTAGTGAGGCTCCAGGAAGGTGGGCTGCATCTGTCCACTAGAAGTCACTAAAGCAGAGGCTCCTGCGGACAGCTGTGAGTGAGGTTCATTCAGCACTGGGGGTGGGGGTGGCGGTGGGGTCTGGGGACCAGCCGTGTGCACGGTGGTTTTCTGAGCCCTCTCCTATGTGCTGAGGAGGTTAGAAGTGTCCGGGCTGGCCGTGTTCCCAGCTTGGAGCACTTTCTACTGTACCAGAAACAAATCACTTGGACTCTTGAGTCTCAGTGTTCTCACCCGTAAAATGGAGGGACTGCTTCCCCCTTGGAACTGGGTGATGGGTAAGAAAGGGATTGGGGGGCTGGGGAATGTCAAGGCCGTTAACTGATGGAAGAAGGAGGAGCTGGAGATTAGCTGCTGGGATTAGCCCAGCCGCCAGCCCTCCCCACCCGACCCCTTTTCATGCCCCAACTTAATCCTGAACCTTAATCCTGCTTGGAAATCCCTCTCCTCCAGCGGCTGTCTCCCGCCCGCCAAGGCTCTGCCTTGATGGGAAGCTCACTGGGGAACCAGAACCCGAGCAGGAAAACAGGGAGGGGACCAACTGGTGCCAAGTCTGAGCCAAGAACAAGCCCTAACCCTATGAATTCCTACTGCCTGGGAAGGGTGGGGGGGATGAGTGTGCTGAGCTCGAGCACCCCAGAGACCCCTGGGCACCTTCCTCCTCAGCCCCCTGCCCTATCCTGACTCGAGGGTCAAGGGTGTGGAGCTCTGTTCAGTGCCCTCTTCAGAACCCCCCTTGCTAGCCTGAGCGTGGGCATGGAGGAGGCGGGGTGGGGCTCCCAGCCTGGCTGTCTCTGAAAGCCACTGTATGGCCTGAGATCTTTATTTCTTCATCTGTACCATGGGGGTGACAACCCTGACTCCCCAAACACCCAGTAACTGTTGCCTCCCCAGCACCTGCTCCTCCCTCCGCTTGAGTTCTGTCCATCGGCTCTCCAGAGGTCAGAGGTCAACAGTGGATGCAGGGCCTGTGCTCTGTGAGCATCCTGGCCAGACTCATGCTGGCTGCCCTTGCTAACATTCCCCCAGCTGCCGGCAGTTCCCCCAGCAAAGCACTCGTGATGACGTGCTCATTTTCTGTTGCCCTGGCCAGCCCGGGAGCCCCTTAGAGCAGGAGCCAAGGCTGCCACCCTCTCCTTGTGTTCCCAGAGCCAGGCCGGAGAAGTTACTTAGAACACACTGGTTATCTGAACAGATGAATTCACCAAACAGAAGGGGAGCCTGGTGCCTAGAGAGGGTCTGTAACCTGCCCAAGGTCACAGAGAGGTGGGGCCTGGTAGGACTAGCAGGGCCCTGCCTGCTAGTGTGAGGGCCCGTCTGCTTCCTCTGTCTGGCTGTCCTGTCTGGGTCTGTCTGTCCTCTTCCAGGGGGGACAGGGGCAGCTCTTCAAAGGTGGGGAGCAGGCTTTAGTAGTCTCTCAGACCCCTGCTTGGTTGGTAGACATGGGTTGTGTTTGGAAAGGACTGTACTTGTCCAGAGCCACATCTTAAGCTCCGGAACTTTCTGGGGCTCAGGGACCTCTTTGGGGTGGTAACCAATGGGAGACCCGACATTGTCCCCATACCATTTGCACATCAACTTTTGTGGGCAAAGGCTCCTGGGAAAATAGGGCAGAAGGGTTGGGATGTGGCCAGAACTAGGGCTCCTGCCCTGAAAAAGATACCTGGGTTTACAGCAGAGCCCCACTGCCCCAAATTCAATGGGTGACCTTGGCCAGGCCTGCACCTGACCTAGACCTCAGTTTACCTACCTGTGCTATGTGTGTGTGTGTTTGCAGGAAAGGGGTAGGGGAGGGGAGTGGCTGGTCTCTCTGTGTCCTTCCTGTTTTGAATGACCCTCAAGGTCTTTCCTCTCTTTAGGGGAGAACAAGGGGTCTTGATACAGGTCTCTCTAATTATTCTCCTAGGAGCCCTAAGGACAAGCAGCCCTCCTAGGCATATTGGCTCCCCTTCTACCCTTACAGGGGCTCTAGGGAGTTGCTTGCTGCTCCAGCTTGGTGGGCCCTAGGTCCCTGCTGGGCCACCCACATGGCAGCCACGCGTCATGCCACACTGACCTCCAGCTCACCTCTGGGGGTACCCAGCCCCCTCTGGTCAGCAGGGCTCCCTGGCAGGACATACCAAGCTCAGACCAGGCCTCTGACCTAGGGCGTTCCCTTCTTCTCCCCAGACCCCCTCCCCAGATCCAGTGCCCACTCCTGTCTCTGGCTTCCTGCCACTCAGGCTGGAGGGGGCGTGGGGGGGGGTGACAGCTGTGTAAGCAATGGTGGCTGCCCCTTCCTGCCCCTCCCCCCCAGCTGTCTCTCTCTCTCTCTCTCATGACAGCTGCCCAATCAAAGGGCTGGGGGCTTAGCCAGCTCCCCCCCACACACAGGGATCAAGTGTCCGCCCTGGCTTTGTTCTGGAGCAAGAACAATCCGGGGGAAGGGAAGGCTCCTGGGGCCAAGCAACTCAAGTGGACTGGCCCGCCCCTTGGGGGATTCCCTTGGCTCTAATAGCTAGAGTGTCTGGACCAACTAGGGCTTGTAGACCCACCTGGGCTGGGAAGAGAGAGAAGAGTCCAGTCTCCAAGTTCATTCCCCACCTTACATCCCCCAACGGTCCCCAACCTAACAGCCTCCTTCTATTCCTCTCCAAAAGCAGCCATGCTGGCCACACCCAGTGATGCTGGAGAATGGCTCAGGGCATCAGGCGAAGCAGGGCATGGTGGGGATGGGGTGGGGGGAGTGGACCCTGGGGCCGGAGGGGATCAGCACTGAGGGATCCTGACTCCCCTGCCCATTTCTCTGGGCATGCTCACCCTTTCTGATTAACTAGGCCTCCAGAAGAATTGCCCCAGCATCCTTGGATCCATATGCCCAGCCTCTCAGCCTTACAGCCTCCCAGGATGGCCATTCATACCTACTTTATGGGAGAGTTGGGGGAGGAGGGGCCTGGAGGGGAGCAGCCTGGGGTCTATGAGCTCCAGCCTCTGGTTCCTTGACCTAGAACTGTCCTGTAGACTCAGTACTAGGCAGAGACGGGAAGCTCTGACAAGCTGGCTGGTGCCAGAAATGCTACAGCCTCCTTAGAGCATCATTAGGCAACCCCTCAAGAGTCCTCACAGCCAAGGGAAACCAAGGCAGGCCCAGGCCCAGACTGGAGTCCAGGAGAAAGGGTGCAACTTCATGGTACAGCCCCATGCACTGGTACACATCCCCTCACTGTCTCACCCAAATTGAGAAAGGTCTCTAGCTTCCATTCTCCATGCTAGAGACTGGGTCACTCTGCTGCTCAACAGCCATCCTTGGCTCCCCAATGCCCAATGAATAAAGCCTGATCTCCATAGATGGGCACTCAAGGCCCTTCATGATCTGGTCTCTGCCAACTTCTCTTGTCTCATCTCTACCCCATCCCCCACACACACCAGACTGCAAAACACGCCTAGCACCACCAGGCCTCTGGGCCTTTGCCCAGGCTGATCCTAGCTTGAAATGCCCATCCTCCCCACTCTGTCCAAATCCTTCTCAGATGCTGCCTCCTCTGTGAAGCCCTCCCCAACCTTCCAAGTCAGATGTTATCACTCAGGCCTCTCTGCCCCTCCAAGATGCCTACAACTCAAAGAAGCCCCATTTGGGCATTTCTGAGCCTGCCTTTCCACTACACAGAGTTCCAGGAGGGCAGAAGCTCCTCCAGGAGGGCAGGAGCCAGTACCAGGCTCAGTGTGCAGGGAGAAGAAAGGGCTCACAGGGCCCAGAGGCATTAGAGACCAGCGATGGGGCTAAGAATCCCAGAGAAGCAGTGACAGTGGGGTGAGAAGACCCAGGGCTCAGGGGACCAGCCCCATGCGAGAGTCAGGATCTGCCTGGACAGGGTTCCCAGTTCCCATTCCTTAGCACCCCCAGCCCCTGCTCCTGCTGTGTCTCTGGGTCTAGGGGCTCCCCAGGCATTATCACTGGGGTGGGGGATTTGCACTTTGAGACTTCTGGAGGCCCTGAGTGGGTTTCCCCATGGCGAAGGGGGGCTGAAGGAAGAACTGTGGTGTGGCATAGGTTTCACAAAATTGGGCTCGGACTGTCATAGCTGGAAGGGCCTCATCAGAGGGGAACCTGAGGCCCAGAGAGGAAGGGGCTTGTCTGTAAGGCTACATGAGAATGAGAGGCAACTGGCAGAGCTGGCAGAATCCCAGGGTCCACCTGTGCAGCTCAGAGCTCTTTCCTCAAGAGGTCAGCGCCACTAGGCAATGGGGATGGAGGCTGGAGGGGGGCAGTGATGGGAGTAGGGAGGGTGGGCAGAGCCTGTCTGGGGACACAGGGCGGGGCAAAGCCAGCCTCCCTGTGGCCTGGGCCTGCCAGGGTGTGTGGGCCGCCTGCTCCCAGCCCCCCACCCTGAGCATGCAAGAAGAACAATCCCCTTGTGTTTGGGCAGCCTGAGCCTGCATGCTGATGAAGGCTGGGGGGTGGGGGCTGGGATGGGGGTGCCTTGGAGGTTGAGGGGGTTCCAGGGCCCGGAGGGGCTAGGGGACCTTCAGATGGGAAAAGGATAGGGTCCCAGGTGCTGGCTCTGGAGCAGTGAGGGTAACCCCAGGAAAGAGTGAAGGCTGCAGTTGAGGTTTAAGGTCCTGGGGAGTCACCGGGGGTCTAAAAACTCTTTGTAGGAGAAGAGGAACCCCTGGAGACACATGCTCTATTGGTCCAGCGTGAAGGTGATCATCCTGCGCTTGGTGGGAACTAAGAGCCCACATTCTGGAAGGAGGGAATGCACCTGGCCCTGGGTGCATCCCCTTGAAGACCACTCCCCAGGGTGCTGGAGTCGGGCGGGGCACTGGGTGCTACAGGTCCCAAGATGGCGGGCCTGGGATAGGGGACTGAGGAGGCAGGCACCTCCCTCTCCTGGTGAAGCAGGCTCCAGGGCCAGGCTGAAGTGACTAGCCAGAGCCCCCGCACCTCCCAGGACTCCAGCTAAGAAGCTAGGTCAGAGCTGAGGGGCTAGAGAGCCACAGGGCACAAGGGACCACTCCGAGCCCCCAACTGTCATTTCCACACACCCCTGGCCTGGAGGTCTGTGTCTGGCGCCCTCAGGGACTGCAGAGAATGGGAAGGGGTGTGTGCTGAGCCAGGAACTGCAGGGGAATGGCAGATGGGGACAGAGATGGAGCAGAACCAGAACCCAGGGCAGGAGGTCGAGAGAAGAGCAGGTCCAAAGGACAGAAACAGCAGGTGAAATGAGGGCCTCAAATCTGGGGTCTCAGGTCGAGGAAGCCCCTCCCTGGTACTGGGGGCTCCTCTAGCAGACCAGCGCCCCCCACCTGTGCAGGCCTGGGCCCGTGTGGGACAGGGAACGTGTTCCTCGCAGTCTCCCAGTCTCCCAAACCCGCGACCCCAGCCTGTGGACTCAGGCGCGGGCTCCCCGCCCCTGGCCGAACCCCCAAACTTCGCGGCCCGCGGTGCCCCGCCCGGCCCGCGCCCTACCTCGCTGGGGCTGTCCTGCGGCGGTGGCGGCGCGGCGGCTGGGCCGCTCAGTCCCACATTGTCCCCGGGAGAGGCGGCCGCTCACAACTGCGAGTGACATCAGCTGCGAACAATGAGGGGTTTGACAGGCGCGGAGCCCGGCCGGCCCGGAGCCCGGCTCCGCGCCCCCCCCACCCCCGGCCCGCCCGGCCCCTCCCCGCCCCCTCCCTGGATCCGATTACAGCGCGGCGGGCCCGCCCCAGCCGCCCCAGTGCCGCAGCCGCCCGCCCCGCCCCGCGCGCCGCGGTGCGCCCCGAGCGGCGGCCGCTTCCGGGAGGGCTGGGGCGACCCTACCCGGGCGGCTCCTCCAGCCCCCGGGAGTGGGGGGCGAGGGGGTTGGTGCGGCCTGAAGCGCGGTCCCAGCCACGGTCCTTCCCGCGCCACCCGCGCCTGCGCCCCGCTCCCAGTCCCTTCGCTATCGGCCAGCCGGTCCTTCCGTCCCGGGCCGCCCGCCCGGTGACTCTGCCGAGCCCTCTGCACCCCCATCTCGGCCTCGGCCCCGCCACCAGCGCCCGCGCTGCCCCGCTCCGGCTCGGGTCCCTCGGAGCTCAAGTTTCGACGCTCCGCCGGGTTGGGTTCCCGGCACTCCTCGCTTCTGCGCCATCCATCCCCGCGCGGGGCTCTCGCCCACCAAGCCCCGCACCCCTCAGCCACCCCCAGCTTCCGCGAGGCCAAGCCCTCGTCCGTCCAGGACAGGTTACCGGACCAGCTGGAGGAGGCGCCTGTGAGCGGTGTGACCCTGTGCACCCGCCCCGTGATTCTCCCAGAGCTACCCCCAGAATTCCTTTTTGGGCTAGGGTCGCGAGGGACGCGGCGCAGTTGAGTACTCGACTAGGGAAGGGGTAAGAGTAGGGGGAGGAGCTGGGCGGTTCCCAAGCTCCCGCTTTCCCGCACCGCACCCCCGGCTGCCGCGCCCCCTGGGGCGCAAATCTACCTCCCCCTCTCCTCCGTAATCGGCTCAGCCTGGTCCCACTGACCTCCACCTCCCCCTACAGCTGAGTCTCTTGGCACCTGGGTGTGTGGGGGTGGGGAGGGGAATCCAATCTCCCTTCCCCTCCATCTGGCCCGGTGGACAAAGGGCAGGGGGACCATCTGGTCCCGCCAGGGTGGGGGAGGGGCCTGCAGTGGCGGTCCCAGGGGGCGGGGGAGGGGCGGCGCTCTGGAGACAGCGAGAGCCTGCGGGGTCTAATTGCATCACTGTATTTCACAGACCTCCAATCTCTGTCTCCCCACCCCCCAAAACTCAGAGCAGGAAACTAGCTTGGCTGAGAAGACCCAGGCCTAATAACCTGGGGAGCTGTGGAGCACCCAAAAGAAAGTGGAAAAGCTGGGAGATCTGAGGGTCGAAGTGATGGCCCTTCCCTTTTGTGGGCATTTCTGATCTAGGGGCCAGCTACAACCTGTGGGTGAGTGAAGTTCAAAGCTGGCCACACCCTAAGCCTGGTAGAGGGTCTCCTGCAAGGGCTGGCCTCATGGTGTCCCCACCTTCCCAGCCATGGGGTGCTGAATGGTTGGGGAGGGCAGCATGTGCCTGTGCAAGTGCTTGTGTGGGGACAGAGTATGTGTGTGTGTGCCTGTGCATGCAATGCAAAGCTGCTGTGAGAGTGTGCGTATCAGCCCAGAGTTGCATGTACCTGTGTGGTTGCCCCCAAGTGAAGGATCATATTTGGGAACATAGATGACTGTAATGTGTATGCATGCATGTGGGCATGTATGTATTTGTGGCCTAAGAGGTGAAGGTAGGGGGTGTTTGTGCCCAGCAGGGCAGCCAAAGGAGGAGCTGGGAGGTGGGGGGAGGCTGGGCAGAGCAGAGGAAGGAATGCAAGCCGAGCAGGAAAGCCTATAGGAGAAGCTCATCTAATGGATTACCCTCCACCAGATTATGTCCCTTGATTCCTGAATTTTTTTCTCTTGATTTCACCTCTTCAGTCTGTCACTGCAAGAGAAAGAAGAGAAAAAGACAGACCCTAAAAGAACTCAGATGGAAAGACACACCTGTTGGATGTGCAGGATGAGCAGGAGCCCACGAAGGGAAGGAGAGAGAATGAGTGAGAGAGAGCCCAAGGCAGGCAAGTGGCCCACCCCCGTCAGCAGGGCTGCGCCTCATGCTAGCTCCTGCAGGAAATCCAGCAGCCCTGTATGCCACTCCTCGGGTTTGTCAAGGTAACAGGGGTGCCCCGCCCCCTCCATGACTAACACCCGGTGGTTGGGCAGCTGCTTCAGGTGCTCAAAGCTGGTCTGACCCATGGGGTCCTGGTCTCCATATACGATAAGAACTGAGGTCTAGAGAAAGCAAAGGGAGGCAGAGTCAACAGGGACCTGCTCCACCAGCCCCAGCCTCCTAGAGATCAATTCCAGCCCTCCCCATCACTTTGGTCTCTCCCTGGGGTCACTGCAAATGACAGAGAGAGACAAGTTGGCCCAGTGCAGGGATGGTTTGGAGAGGTATGAATTTGTGTATGCCCCAGCACACAGTTTAGCACAGGGCTTGCCACAGTAATCTTCTGCCTAGTACACCAAAAGGGCAGAGTTTGGTGGTTCAACTCCTCCCGGAAGCTACCCCTTTGGTTACCCAGTACCCAGGGATGGACTGTTCCTTGCTCCTGGCAGGGACATCTCAGCTTCCCACATAAGGGTACCTTCACTCTGGCATAGTCGGCAGCATTGATTTTGTCAGTGCAGATGGGGGCCACTGGCACATAGCCCCGGATCTGGGAGCCTGGGGCCACGAGGAAGGGCAGGGAGTACATGCCACTCAACGATGGGCTGATCACGACTGGGGGGCCCATATCCAAGGCATCCACCACAGTTGCCAGAAAGCTGCTGGGGACCAGCTCCCCAACAGGGGCAGGGGCTGTTGCTTCCTTGGATCGCCCCAGACCTGCAGGGATTCAGGTGTGGGAGAGACAAAGGTGGTGAGTAGGAAAACAGGGGAGAGAGGGTCCCTTCCTCCAGGAAGCCCTCCTAGGTCAACCTCTGTGCCAGGTTCCTGCAACAGGCAGTGTTGCATGCTGTAGTTATTCCTACAGCAACCTAGGTCTGTCATATCTGTAGCAAGCATAAGGCATTTCCTTCCATGTTTGTGCCCATCTCCCCCAGTACAGCGTCCTCAAAGAATCAGGCTCTGAAGCCCAGCTTGGCCAGATCCAAGTCCCAATTGTCCACTATAGATTATGTTAGCTTGGGAAAGTCCCCTCAGCCCTCACTCTACTGTTCAGTTTCCCCATCTGTTAAAAGGAGGTAACAAAAGTGTTTGCCATTTGAGATTGTTGTGAAAATTGATTTAACTGCTTCAAGGCACCTGTCCCAGGGCTGGCAGGGTAGATGCCTCCAGGACAGTGGATGAGAGACTGGCTCTGCACACATCCCTCCCCTCCAATTAGTCAGTCCCTACCTTCTGCAGGATTAGTTCAAGGCCTTGGCCTTGAAGCTCAGCCCAATCCACTGTCAGAACCAATCCTGTCCCAGCCTGGAGGCCCGCCCTTGGGCACTGAGACCATACCAGCCATGGCCAGTGAGGGGAGCAGGTTGGCCATGCTGCCACCTTCACACTTGGCACCATGGGCTGGGGCCCGCCAGTTGAGGTTATGACTGGCAGTCTTGTGCTGCTCCTCCCTCCCTCAGGACCTAAATTAGGGCTTTGTATGTGGGATCATGACTGGGGGCTTAGCCACCCCCAAAGGTGCCAGGGGACTCAGTGTCACTCCTCAGGGCTTCCAACAGAGCCTGTGGTTTCGGCTCTTTCAAAATATTTTACTTCCAATCGACTGAGCACCGATTATTATGTGTTAGGTACTGGCCACATACTCACATGGATAATCTCATTCCATTCTCATTAGAGCCAAACCCCAGAATGAGTGTGGTTATCTCCCATTACAGATGAGGAAACAGAAGCAGAGACACTGAGACATTGCCCCGGGCAACACAGTTAGAAGCAGCTGGGCAGTGTCCAGACCACACCCGGCTGGACTAGAGAAGCTCAAAGGCCCTTGTAGTGTGCACTGCGCCCTGTCTAGCTCAGGAGTCAGCCTGGCTAGGTCCTCCCAGTCCCCCAGCCCCCAACCCTGGGTCCCCAGTGAGGCTCCCACAACCCCTGTCCAGAAGCCTTCCCTGGAGTTACCTGGCAGGTCAATGGCCACAGCCCAGTAGCCAGCCTGGGCCAGCCTGTGCAGCGTGCCCAGGTTCTGCCAGGTCTCGGAGGAGAAGCGTATGCCATGCAACAGCAGCACGGAGAAGCGGGTGGCCTGCCCACTGCCCGGGTGAGCCTCTCGGAAAAAGAGGCTCTGGCCCTGCACCTGGATGGTGCCCTCGTGCTGCTCCACGCCCGCCATACCTCCTGCTGTGCTGGTGAAGCACCTGTGGTTCAAGGCCAGGCTGATGAGAAGCCACAGAACACCTTGCCCAGGTGGAGCAGGGAGGCTGCCACAGACAGGGCAGGGGTCCCTCCTGGAGCATCAAGGAGGCTCCCAAAACTCTAGGAACATGCTTTGGGGTGAGGAAGACATAGGTGTTATTTCTGCATCTGCCACTACCTAATTGCCTTGGTTTCCTCATCTGAAATATGGGACATTAAAGCCTATCTCAAGAATTTATGAGTTAAAAAAAAAAAAGAATTGATAATTGATGGTGCCTGCCTTTGGAAAGAACTTAATACATGGGTCTGCCATTACAATTATTGTTCCCATTGTTATTATCCTTTTCTACGAATGGGGATAATACAGTAGTACTAGCTCCTAGGTGGTTGATAGGATTAAACGAGGCCAGGCATGTAAAACACTCGCCAGTGCCTAGCACATAGTAAGCATAGTAAATGGATCAACAGCAATCAACAGTAAGTAGCTGACTCTTTTGCTTTTCAACATTTTCCTCTTCCAGGCACTGTTATAGGTCGTAGGTTGGCATCACAGGCCGAAGAGGATAGGGGTTAGAGTAAAAAAATCTGTTTTCCGGAGCCGGAAACCGGAGCGCTGAGCAGGGAAAGGCTTTGAAGTTCCGGCCGGCGAGGGAAGCGAGGTGCTCAGCGCGCTGCCCGCTGGGGCCCAACGCACTGACGCCGCGGCCAGGGGCGCGGTCACCGGCGCCGCCACCGCTCGCTGTGTCCCCTCCGAGGACCTCGGTTGTGGATCGCAGGGTCTGTTAGGGTGCATGCAGAGGGGGTGGGGGCAGACCCGAGGAAGGGGGCCTGGGGAACCGAGATGGGCAGAGGAGAAACTTGGGGTAGGTGGGGGTGGGTTGTAATTGGAGAGAGGAAGAGAGGGTTGGGGGGCGCAGGGCAGGTACCTGGGGAGCTGCGTGGGCTCTCGCAAATAGGAGGCAGGCGAGGGCAGGCGGCGACTGGGGCCCGGGGCGGGGAAGCAGGGATGTGGCCCGCCGGAGGGCGTGGGCCGGGCCGTGCTCCGGGGCGCCCGCTTGTGGCCACAAGCCGTCCCAGGGCCGACGGGTGCTGCTAGACCCATCCTTCTTCTCACAGCTGTCTCAGTTTCCCCACGCCCCTCGGCCCCACGTGCCCCAAGCACCGGACAGGGTCCGGCCCCGAGACCCTCAGCGACCTGCTCCACATGCATATGGTGTGGCTTGAGAAGGAGGGTTCCTTTGGGGTCTCATCCTTCCTGTTCCCTCCCCCTTCCTCCCCACCCCCTCATCCCCAGCCTGGGCTGCCCAAACCCAGAGTCGTCTGTCTGGCAGTGGCTGAGGCCCGACAGGTTTGAATGCGAAGCTCTGCCAATGCCCAGCCATGATCGTTTTCCCAACGCCTCCGAGCCTACTTCCTTGCCTGTAGAATGGCTGTGATGTTGCCTACCTCACAGAGTGCTAATAAGGAGTGAATGCTGCGTGTTCCGTGCACCCTCCCTTTTCCAGGTCTGCCCACACAGGCCAGGGACAGATCAGATGTTGGTCGCATGTCACAAACCAGGATAGGTGACATATAGAGACATAGGAGCCTAGAGGCCACCCCGGGCCCTGACCGAGTGCTCGAGCGCGTGTGTATTTGCAGGGGTCAGGGAAGTGGATGGCCGGAGACCTGGGGCTGCTGCATAACAATACTAATATCTGGCAGTTACACAGCGAGGCTTCCGCGCCAGACACTGTTCTAAGGCTTGACCTATCCCTCAGTCCTTAAGACAGGCCTCTGTGGTGGTGACAACCCTATGTGGTCCTTAAGACAACCCTTATCCTTAACCCTGCTTACGGACCAGAGACTGAGCAAGGGTGGAGCCGTGCTGGTGGGAAGAAATCGACTGTCCCTCCCCCGGCTTTCAGAACAAAAACAATCCGGAAAATCTGAACGGGGGGACGGGGGCGCCGAGCCTCTGTGCTTTGGGGTGCCGCCCCCAGTGCCCCCTCCAGTTCGGCTACTAGGCGTGGACCCGAGACCGCGGACTGCGCAGGCGCGCGGAGGCTCGCAGCCGCCCGCAGAGAGGCGGAGGCTGGGGTAGCGCCAACGTCTAAGGGCTGTTTGGCGCTGGTTGCACCTGAGCGGAGCCCGCCCCACGGTGGCAGACCCGGTCATCCCTGTCGGCCCGGTGAGTGTCCCCGGGGAGTGAGGCCAGCAGGGTGCCCGGGGGCGGGCCATCCTTGCCCCGCCCCTTGCCCCCGGAGCCCTGGGACAGAGTCCTGCTGGGAGAGGCCCGCGCTGGGGCAGCGAGTATATTTGTGTTCGTGTGTCAAGTGTGCGCGCCCGCGCGTTTGTCAGCGTGTGTTCTTGGGGGTCTGGGTGTACGTGTATGTGTGTGTGGTGTATCGGTGTTTCTGTGTGCCTGTGTTGGGGGGTTATGTCAGTCTGTCTGCCCGCTTGTGTCTGTATGTCTACTGTGTGAATTTCTGTGTGCGTGATTTTAAGGGTGTATATCTACCTGTGTGTCTGTGTGTGTATTTCTGAGGGTCTGTGTTTGGGTGTCCGTCTTTCTGCCTGTGCCTGTGTATTTCTTGTGTGCGTGTGTAGTTCTGGGGTTGTGTGTATGACTGAGTGCTTGAAATATGAGGGTCTGCATATGGTTTTGAAAGCGTGTGTGTGTCTACCTGTCCCTCTGCCTTCCTGATAGCTGAATGTGTGCGTGACTTTGAGGGTGTTTCAAGGTATCGATTGTGCAGAGGCCCGTGCGTGTGCAAGGAGGCTGCCTGTACGTGCAGGGAATAGCTTGTACAAAGGAAAAGCGTTTGGGGACAAGAGTTTGTGTGCACGTCTGTACACCTGTGTGTCATTGTCGACGCGTATGCCAAGGACCTAACGCGGGTACAGCGCCTCCCTCCCCTCCCCCCATATCTGTAGCGTACTGTGGTCTAGTGCTCCAGCTGCCTGGGTTGCCATAGCAACGGCTGAAGTCCCGTCCCTCCCTACCAGGAGAGGTGCCCCAGGGCACCAGGCCCACCAGAGGAGAGGTTCAGCGCGGATGCTCTGCCTGGTGGGAACCTAGGCTGCCTCGCGTTGCAGGCTTGCGTCCGAGGCTGGTCGTGGTCAGAAAGAAGAGAGGAGCGTGCTTTTCCTCCACTCAGCATCTGGTCCTCCATCAGCCCCAGAGGGGCTGCCACTGCCCAGTCACCACCTGACCCTTGAGCCTGGGGGTGGGGGCTTGGGAAACAAGCCTTCTCGTTCTGGGAGGGGTGGGGGGATCCGAGGTGATTCCCCAGCCCTGAACTCCAGCCAGCGCCCAGCCGACACTCAATAAAGACCTGTTTACTGGAATCTGGGAACAAGGCAGGCCTGCTCACCCTAGACCCAAGAAATGATAAGACAGCTCCTGGTCAGGTCCACTGTATTACCGAAATCTCACAGGAGTCTTGGGAGGGCAGCTGCCAGGTTATCCTCCCCATTTTACTGACAAGGCACACAGCCAGGAATTGGTAGAGCAGAGTCTCAAAGGCAGGGCTAACTGCTCTGTCTGGGTCCTGGATACTGAGGTCTGTTTTCTGGGCTGGCAAAGGACTCAGACTAGAGCAGTCCATGAAGCAGGTCATTTGGCGTGAAGCTGGGGGGTGGGAGGCATTTGTCTCTCCAGCCTCCATGGCTCCCTTTCCACTTCTAGATGTGCCATGCTTCTCCCTAGCCGCATACCCCCTCGTGCCTAGGCATTTCCTCCATAAACGATAGTCTCCATGAGCTCTCTTCCCACTTAATATCAGCTGGGGTAGAGCATTAAATATTCCCATCAGTGGTAAAACATTCTGATTTTAGCATTATTATATGCAGTGTGATAAAAAGAACCATTTCAAAACATGCCCTCAGTGGGACATCGCTTTACTCTTTGATGTCTTTCACCTTTGATGACTCTCAGCACTCTGTCCACGAGTTCATCCGTCACCTCACAGCCTTGGTTTCCTCCTTGGCAAACTGAGTGTGGCCTGGTGGTTAGGAGCCCAGCCCTGGGCTCAAGTCCCAGTTCCCCTGCTTGCTACTCTGCGCTTTGGGTAAGAGAATTTACCTCTCTGAGCTTCAGTTTCCTCATCTATAAGAGACCTATAATACCTGCTCCCTAGTGTTTTTGTGTGGGTTCATGAGTTGTTACAGGTGAAGGGCCAAGCACAGGGCCTGGCTATCATAAGCACTTGATGAATGGAAGTGGTTTTAGCTGGCACAAGGATGATGGTGGCCACTGATGCCAAGAGGACATCTCAGATGCTCCTCACGCTTTAGGGTATCTGAGCCCTTGCCCTGGCATGTGGAGTAGTTGGGTGTGAACCCTCAGATCCTTGCCTGGAGCAGAGGAGAGGGCAAGGGCTGAGCTTTTCCTCTGCTGGGCACTCCTGGGTGGGATTTGAGAATGGGGTCCAGGGGACCTTGCAGGGGCTCAGCCCTACCCTCTTCTCCCTCTCCTCTCCTCCTCCAGACTGTGGTACAGACCTCCATGACCCGGTCCCAGGTCACCCTGCTGGGCCTGGGCCTGCTGTTCTTGCTGCTACTGTATGTGGGGCTGCCAGGACCCCCTGAGCAGACCTCCTGGCTCTGGGGAGACCCCAATGTCACAATCCTGGCTGGTCTCACCCCTGGCAGCTCCCCCATTTTTTACCGCGAGGTGCTCCCACTTCACCAGGCCCGCAGGTGGGTGCTGACCCCAGGGTGTAGTGGAAGGACTAGGTCCGCGGGGAGTCCCTGTGTGGGTCCCCCAGCTCAGCTCAAAGTACTCAGGGCCTGGGAGGGCAGTGGGAGAAGCCTGGGAAGAAAGAACCCCCAGAACACACACTCCCCTGTGTGCCCACAGGGTGGATGTGGTGCTGCTCCACGGAAAGGCCTTTAACTCCCGGACATGGGAGCAGCTGGGCACACTGCAGCTGCTGGCACAGAGGGGCTACCGGGCCGTGGCCCTTGACCTCCCAGGTGAGAGCCCCCACCCCTGGGTCTAAGGAGGTAACGTGCAGCAGGGACATGGGGACAGCATGCCAGAGGGGAGAACTGGAGGGATAGGAAAGCCCTAAGTTGTGGCTGGGGAGCATCTGGACCCCAGTGTCTGAACAAGCAGTGGCAAGTCACAACACAAAGTGTCAACACGAAAAGCTCTGTGTTTTTTATTTTCTACCTTGAAAACTACAGTGTGGATTGTTGCATGTCACAGAGCAGTTAGCAACATGACCTGCCTCACAAGCGATTGCATGGGGAGATCTCACTGTCCTTTTTATGACAAACTAGGTAGCTTTTTGTTTTTTCAGCTATACAAATGATTTTTGCTATTATTCTTGTCATTAAAAAATCAACCAAGAGTGATGCCCTCAGAGACCCATGCCATGTTTCTCTCCCTCTCACTTCTCTAAGCAGTTTGAGGGTGCCAGGCCCTCTTTGGGCGTTTCCATGCCTAGAGATACAGGGTTGTTTGGTGGGGGCTGTAAACATGACTGGTGTCCTGCCAGCTTAGTGAATCTATCTGCAGCCTAGTTTTCTTCTCCTCTACCATGTCTCATGGGTCATGCCAGGCACTGTGACCCTCCCTCTCCGTAGTGTGTGCCATCAGAGGGATGAACAGGTTTTATCTGGCCACTCCTCGACTGGTGGCTCTGTAGCCTGCTTTAGAGTTTTCAGTGTCAGTTGAAATGCTCAAGTAAGGAAGCTGAAGCGTCTTTGGACATGCTTCTTTGAGCATGTGGGCAATAATTTCTGTAGGGTAGCCATCAAGGCCAGTTGATGGGTCGAAGGACACACATTTAAAGTTTTTGGACGAATATTATCTTACCCTCCAAAAATGCTGTGTGGATTTACCCTCCAGTCATGTACAAAAGTGTCCACATCTTCCTTAACACTGTGTATTATCAGTCTTTTTAGTTTTGCCAACATGATGAATGAAAGATGGTTTTCTAGCAGCCCTATCACAGTACAAAAGTAACATCTAGGAAGTTCGGGGTAGCAGATGCTATATGCCACTGCCCCCCATCTCTTTCCCTCACTCTGGTGGGCAGGAAGTCCTGACCTCCTTCCCAGCCTCCCTCAGCTGGTGCCTTCTGCTGTTCCCAGGTTTTGGGAACTCGGCACCTTCGAAGGAGGCAAGCACAGAGGCAGGGCGGGCACAGCTGTTGGAGCGAGTGCTGCAGGACCTAGAGGTGCAGAATGTCGTGCTGGTGAGCCCTTCACTGAGTGGCTGCTATGCCCTGCCCTTCCTGATGCAAGGCCACCACCAGCTGCATGGATTCGTGCCCATTGCACCTGCGTCCACCCAGAACTACACCCAAGAACAATTCCAGGCCGTGAAGGTACTGGGAGGAGGGTCTCCAAAAGTCCTGGCTTCCTGTCCCTGGCTCAAGTCATAGGGGGAAAGGCCTCAGGTCTTACTTGGAGGACACATGGCCCCATCCTTGATCTGGATGGGAGAGATGGGGTGTATAGGGAAGATTTCCTAAGGAGGTGGCTTGAGGGCCAGTCCCCATCAGGCCCCAGGATCACAGCCCCTTGCCTTGCCCTGCAGACCCCGACTCTCATCCTGTATGGGGAGCTGGACCGCGTCCTGGCTTGGGAGTCACTGCGGCAGCTCCGCCACCTGCCTAACCACTCTGTGGTGAAGCTGCGCGATGCAGGCCATGCCTGCTACCTCCACAAACCACAAGACTTCCACCTCGTCCTTCTTGCCTTCCTTGACCATCTGCCTTGAGCTCACCCACTGTCCAGGCCCCAGGCCTGGCCTGAGCTTGGAGGATCTGGACCAGTCTCCACCAGGGAGGCAGCCCCTGGGGTTGGAGGGTAGAGACCAGAGGGCCAGGCCCAGTCAGGACCTCTCATTTCATTTCAGAGGCACAATAAAAGAAAGCATTTTTGTTATGCCTAGGGAGTGACAGGTTCTGTTTCCTGGCGTTGCTGCAGGTGGGGTTAGAGTTGGAGGCAAGTCTGGGACTGCTTTGGGACTGAGAGCTGGAGGGATTGCTCCAGCAGCCTGGGAAGGCTAAGGACATGCGCTACTTACTAGATGGCTGCTGAGTGGCTACTCTGACTCAGTTTCCTCATCTGTAAAATGGGCATGATGGTAACACCTAGCTCAGAAAGTGGTTTTAGGATTGAGTCTGGTTAAGCAGAGCACTTGGCCATACTGGGCTGGCGACGTGGGAGTGTCATGGAGAGGGGGTGTTACTACTGCTGAATGACCACTGGGATTGGTGGGAAATCCAGGGTCTAGCGGCTGAGTTGAGTGAGTCAGGAATAGAGGACCTATGGCTGAAGGGAGCAAGATTTGTAAAGGTGGGGTGGAGAATGTGGTTTAATAAGTAACACAGTAGTGGGAGGAGGGAAATTTCCCCCTCTACCCCTCTTGAGTTCTTGGCTGGACTAACAATAAAATTGACACAAAACAGATTAATAGGAGAAAAAGAAATTTTAATCATGTGCAAGGAGGTCTCGTAGAAATGGGACCTAAGAAGTGGCCAGAGCAGGCAGCTTTTATACTTTTTAGACAAAGAATAAATTTGTGAGGACTTGACAGGACAAAGAAGCATATTTTGGCTGCTCAATTAGTAAAGAATCTAAACAGAGTGGGCTTGGGGGTAGTAAATTAAAGAATTAACAAGGTTTGTTCATACAGGCTTCTCAGCCTGAATTCCCTATCTCCGGAAATCAGAGTGTCCTACCTCCAGATGCAGGGAGTGTACCTTTTGTATAGAGATTTATTGTTTTCAGGGAGACAGAAAGGAGGGTCAGAATGTCTCTTTTGCATTGGACATTTCTCAAGTGACTTTAATTCAAAATAATCAACATGCCAGAGGCACATTTTGGGATGGCCTGCCCTGGGCCCCAACAATAGCCTGCTTGCCCCTGGGAATCTGTGGGTCAGCAGTCTGACTTAAACCTCACGAGGGTTGGATGGACCCTACCCTACCCTGCCAGCCTGCCTCCTCTGTGCCCAGAGGTTGAAGTCTTCAACCCCACCCCTCCCCAAGCTGATTCAGCCCCTGGAACTGAGGGCAGAACTGGCTGAGAGTACAAAGGACAGCCGGACGCACAAATGGGCAGCTACAACTGTGTGCAGCCTGTGGGTGGCCAGTGGGACACCTGTGCCTCTTTATCTTCCCTCTCCAGTGGCTGCAGAAGAGCCAGGGAGCCTGGCACAGGGTCAGCCAAGAAGGTGCCACACGTATGCTTTTGTGCAGTTTCCCACCTCTCATTCTGTCATACAGCGTCACGATTACATCCTCTCATCGTGCCATCCTCTGTCACACCCAACCACCATCTCACTCACATTGTCATACACACAGTCACCCACTGTTACACAGATTTGCCTACACAGTGGTGCGATCACACATGCGCCCATCCGTTCATTTATCCTTCATTCCTGGCACGCTGTCCGTCTGTTCTGTCCCCTGCCAGGGACAGAATCCTGCGGGTACATGGACCAGCATCTTGGAGCTCACAGATATTAACTAATAACCTCTCCACACAGGGAGCATTGAGGCAGTCAGGGAGGCCGCCCCTGAGTAGCTGAGGCGTGAGGAGGGGAGAAGTCCAAGACTCGCGGGAGGGGGTGGTGGAGCAGGCCGGGGCCAGACCCAGCAGGACTTTTCAAAGCTGTACTCTGAGAGCGAGGGGGCGCTCAAGGGGGCAGCTGCGAAGTTTCCGGTCAGTGCCCGCCTTCCTCCCTCCTGGCCCAATCGGGAGGTTGCGGGAGGTGGGGCCCGCTGCCCAGGGCCAAGGGCGGGGCCTGAGGGGGCGGGGCCAGCCTGTAGCTCGCTATCGGCTGCAGGGCGGAGCCGGCGGCGGAGGCAGCTGCCCCGGGGTGGGCCCCTGAATCCCAGCCTCATGTAAGTGGCGGAGGCTGGAACCACTGGCTGGCGGAGACGCCCACGGTCACTGGGCCTTAGAGATTGGGACGGCCCTGATTCGCAGTCTTCGGTCCCGCCCTGCGGGGTCCGGCCACGTGGTGGGCGGACCGCGGCAGTTCTGATCCGGAGACCTCGCAGGACCTGGAGTCCCGCCCACAGTCCAGGGCGGGCGCCGAGAGGGGAGCGCGGGCCCAAGACCAGCAGAGAGTGAGGTGGGGGGCCGTGGAGAGGGGTAGAGGGATCTGGGGCTCCCTGACCTGAAATCCGGGCAACTGGGAGATTTTTTTTGAGGAGGGCGGGGGGAGTCAATGTCTGGTTTCAAACGTGGCTCAGCTACTTTCTAGGTGTCTCTGAATCTGTCTTAGCTTTTTCCTCTGTAATGTGGGCTTTCAGAGGCACGAACTTCATGGGGTTCCTTGGGGGATTAAATAAGGAAATGTGTTGAAAGTGGCCAGCACAGCGCCTGAAACAGAATGGGGCCTCTGTAACTGGGGGCTCCGAAACAAGGTATTCTCTCCCTGCGGGGCGGCCGGGGAACCGCCCTGGGGAGGGACTGCGTGTAAATGGAGCCCACCAGCCGCAGCGGCGGGGAGGGGTAGGTAGCCACTCGCTTTGCCCCTAGCTCACCACGGCAGGGCAGCGCCATGGCCAGCAAGCGTCGTGAGGGCGAGCACCCATCCGTGACGCTCTTCCGTCAGTACCTGCGCATCCGCACCGTCCAACCCGAGCCCGACTACGGTGAGAACGCGGCGGTTCCAGGAGGACCTGTGGTGGGGCATCAGGGGCGGGGACTGTGCTCTAAACCAGGCGCCAACCCCTGTCACCCAGCTGAGCCTAATCTTCTGCCTCAAATGGCGCCTCCATTCCTCTAAGCCGTTCCCTAGGTCAGCAGACAGCTCAGCACCCCATCCAGGCTGTGCTGCTCCAAAAGTTACAACTGGCAGTTAAATAGGGAACAACTTCACCTACTCTCCAGCACTTGGGGTTGGGGAAGGGAAGAAGAGGCCCCCGGAAGCCTACTGGGGCTGAACAAAGGCCACAGACCTTCGGGGAATCAGGCTTGGTGGCTGGGAACTGTGTACTGGGGTCCAATCCAAATCCCTGCTCTGTGATTTACCAGCTGGGAAACAGTGGGTGAGCCTTATGTCTCCGCGCCAGTTTCCCCATCATTAAGGAAGGTAACAATGACACCTGCTTCTCACTCTGGACTTCCCACCTGGCCTTCTACAAAGGGTCACTGGCCAAAAATGTCTTCTTCCTTGGGGACAGCGATGCAGATGTCTCTGACGGATGTGGAATTGTGTTGAGGCAGGGGTCTGCTCCCTTCTCTGGATGTACCCCCATCTCTGCCTGGGCCCGTGGGAGGTGTGGGGAGGCAGAAGCAGCAGCAAGGCTGTCTGTGTTCCCAGGGGCTGCCGTGGCCTTCCTTGAGGAGAGAGCCTGCCAACTGGGCCTGGGCTGTCAGAAAGTGGAGGTGAGCCTGTGGCCCTGCATGGGTAGGGGAGGTGGGCCTGGGGCAGCTCCTCACCGTGCACTGACGACCCCTCCTCCTGGCCCTCTCCAGGTGGCAGCTGGCCGTGTGGTGACTGTGCTGACCTGGCCAGGCACCAACCCCAGACTCTCTTCCCTCTTGCTCAACTCCCACACCGATGTGGTGCCTGTCTTCAAGGTGCGGGGGGTGTAGGGAGTGGAACACCCTTGGGGACAAAGATGGTACAGATCCCCCATTCGACTGCAGGGGTCCCACGATGCTGGTCCTGGCACTGATTCGACCTCATAGAGCATTACTCCACTCAATCAAGCAGCCTCTGCCCAGTAGCTATTCCATGCCAGGGGTGGGGTATGCCAGAGGCGGGGTTGGTGGTGGGAGGCAGAGATGAGGGATGGCTGTCAGCTGCCCTCTTCAGCCCTATGTGGGCTCCTAGGGCACCTGCTCCCGGGGCAGGGCCACAGTTGAGCAGAGTGGATTAACGACTACATTTGGTGCTTGGGCCCCTCTTCCTGCCCCTGCCCTCAGGAACATTGGAGTCATGACCCCTTTGAAGCCTTCAAGGATGCTGACGGCTACATCTATGGCAGGGGTGCCCAGGACATGAAGTGTGTCAGCATCCAGTGAGTGTCCTTCATTCCCAGTTTCCCCACTGGCCCGTTGGATTGACCCAGGACCCAGGTGTGATTGGAGAACATCAAGGCCAAGGAACATCTTGACCCCTTACCTTGGGCGGGAATTCCCGCTATGACCATTGCATGGATGGGGAGACAGGGACAGAGACTTTCTGGAGTCACCTGCTAGGCTGTGGCAGAGCACGGCCCAAGGCTGCAGCCTGCCTGCTCTGATGGCTCCCCCCCAGCACCTGGCTTACACCCTCTTACTGCCCCTCAGGTACCTGGAGGCTGTGAGGAGGCTGAAGGTTGAGGGCCACCATTTCCCCAGAACCATCCACATGACCTTTGTGCCAGGTAGGAGTGACTCGAGGAGGGGCACCTTCAGGGGTGGGGAGAGTGTTGGGGCACCCCCTATCTCACATTCCTGCTTCTTTTACAGATGAGGAGATTGGGGGTCACCAAGGCATGGAGCTGTTTGTGAAGCGGCCCGAGTTCCAGGCCCTGAGGGCTGGCTTCGCCCTGGATGAGGGTGAGCAGGGTGGCAGGACACTGACTGGCCAGCAGGAGATAGGGAGGCTGCTAGTGGGGGCTGGGCCGCTCCACCCTCTCAGGCCTGGACAACCTTTTCCTCCTCAGGCCTGGCCAACCCCACTGACGCCTTCACTGTCTTTTACAGTGAGCGGAGCCCCTGGTGTGAGTATGCACTTGGACGTTGGGGGTCACTGTGCAGATGGGAGACTGGGCCAGAAGGGGCAGGGGCCCGCCAAGGGTTCCACAGCAAGTTGGGGCCTGAGTAGGCCTTGAACCCAGGGCCTCTGCCTCCCAGCCCCTTCCTACCTGGGCATCTCTTTCCTGAGCTTCTGAAGGGAGGCCCTAACCATGGGCAGAAACCAGCTCTACACTGTGCATTCTGAGGCGGGCAGAGACCTGGCAGAGGAGCCTGGAATGAGGGGAAGACCCCGGGCCCATCCCAGGGCTGGTTGCTTTTCCAGCCTCTCCCATACTGAAGACACCCCCTTCCCCCTGCGTCTCCCAGGGGTGCAGGTCACAAGCACCGGGAAGCCAGGCCACGGCTCACGATTCATTGAGGACACGGCAGCAGAGAAGCTGGTGTGTGGCATACGGGGAGGGAGTTTGGGAGTTCCCGAGGCTGTCCTGGGGCCACTCTCACATCTAACCTCACTCTCCTAGCACAAGGTTGTGAGCTCCATCCTGGCTTTTCGGGAGGAGGAGAGGCAGAGGTGAGGCAGCCTGGGAAAGGGCACGGGGCTCTGGGAGGCTACGCAGGAGAGGAGGGGGGCTGAGCCCCCTTTTTATCTGTTCTTCCCCCTTGCTGCTGCTGCCCCTGCCCCCCACCACAGGCTCCAGTCAGACCCTCAACTGAAGCAGGGGGCCGTAACCTCCGTGAACCTGACTAAGCTAGAGGGTGGTGTAGCCTATAATGTGGTACCTGCCACTATGAGCGCCAGCTTTGACTTCCGCGTGGCACCAGATGTGGACCTGAAGGTGCCATCTCCACCTGGGTTTGGAGGAGGGAGCCTGGGTCCTCAGCCCTGTCCTAGAGGCTCAGGGAGAGCCTGAGGGGTCAACTCATCTCCCTTCTCACAGGCTTTCGAGGAGCAGCTGCAGGGCTGGTGCCAGGCAGCTGGCGAAGGGGTCACCTTCGAGTTTGCTCAGGTGTGGACTGGGGAACCTACAACAGGGGAGTTGTAGGAGCTGGGGAGGCTGGGCTTGCCGCATGTGTCACTGCAGGAGTGTACGTTTGGTGTGCCTGCATACATCCTGGCTTTAGCTGTGAGAGACATGTTTTGTTCACCAACAAGCGTTAGTTGTGTAGGCCACTGTTGGGTGCTGGGGAATACTAGGGAGTGAAATTAGACAAGTTTTTGCCCTCATAGTCTTTACACAATGAAGGGAGGAATAGACATGAATCAAAAAATTATGTATTACTTTTATGTAAGTGTGAACACATGTGGTCCAGGAAAGGGTGGGACCTCATAACTGTGAACCTGTAACTGGAGTATTTGACCAGTCTGAGGGGTCTGGGAGTGCCATCTTGAGGAAGGGGCACTTAGGAAGGATCTGAGGATGGACAGGAAGTGGAGGGCACAGAAGGTCCCAGACCTGTGACCTTTGAGAGACTGAAAGAGGGCCTGTTGCTGGACTGGCGAGCTGGATGTCTGAGTAGGTGGGTGTGTGCCCCGTGCCAGGCACAGCCTACCCTATGAAGAATAGGGCAAGATGCCCAGGCCTTGTCCTGATCCTGCCATCCTTCTCCCCACAGAAATGGACAGAGCCCCGAGTGACATCTACTGATGATTCAGACCCCTGGTGGGCAGCTTTTAGTGGGGTCTGCAAGGACATGTGAGCACACTGGCCAGCACCCCCTCCCCTTCCCTCCCTCCCACCTTCCTTTGCTCCTTCAACCGTTCCCTTGCCCTCTCCCCTCTCTGCCTCCACATTCACCAGGTTCTTCCCTCTACAGGAACCTCACCCTGGAGCCGGAGATCTTCCCCGCTGCCACAGACAGCCGCTATCTTCGCGCGGTGAGCTGCTTGCAGTAGGGTGGGCAGTGGAATGGTCCTGGGTGCTGGCCTTCCCCCTAACGGCTCCTGTTGCCCCCTTCAGGTGGGGGTCCCAGCTCTGGGCTTCTCACCCATGAACCACACACCCGTGCTGCTCCACGACCACGATGAACGGCTGCATGAGGCCATGTTCCTCCGCGGGATCGACATATACACTCGGCTGCTGCCTGCCCTGGCCAGCGTGCCCACCCTGCCCAGCGAAAGCTGAGCCCCGCGCTCTCCAACCTCCACCCCGATCAGTGCCAAGGACCCTTCTTCCCCCCTGCCCAACAATAAAGTCTGTGTGGACAGGGACCACTTCTGAAGTACTAACAGCAAGGATGTTCACGGAGCAGGGTTTCAAAGATGATAGTAACACCTACATCAGAGATGAGAGATCATACACCATGGGTCACACCTGTTGCCCCAGCATAACAACAACTCTTTGAGCCTCCCCAGTGCCCAAAGTTGGACTACAGATGAAGATCTAGTGTGACCAGGAACAGTGCTTCATTGGCTGTTCTGAGGGCTAAGACTGCTGGTGAAGCACCTGATCCAGGGGGCAAAGAATACAGCACAGTCATGCAAGTAAGGCAGTGCCACCATTGCTTGGCCTCCCAGGAGCCCTAGAACTTGGGGGACTGTACAACTCAGAGCAGTGAATGCTGGCCAGGCACGCTAGGAACCTAGAACTCCCCAGGCCAGAGTGCAGAATTCTTCTGGGTCCTCCCTTTTCTTCTGGGTAAGTTTTAAGACCTGACAGGGATGTTTGGGGTTTTTCTCTGTCCTCACCAGCCTGCCCAGTCCAGCAAGCTATGTGCCCCAGTGTCCCTAAGGCACCCAACCACTCCTCATTTACTAGGTCCCCTTCTGGCACTCCAAGGCCCTATTTCCCCTGACTCCCACCCACACCCTGCCATCCAAGGAAGGCTAAACTCTTTTCCCACACAAAATGTAGGCACGGACCCCACGTGACTGAAAGATCCTGCCTCAGGTTTATTTGTACAAATAGCACAGGAGGACACCAGCCCCATGCAGACAGCAGCCAGGGGTCACACCAGTCCTTCTGTCCTCACATTGGCAGACAAAGGTCTCTACTCTGGAGCCTTTGTGGGGGCCTGGGCACCTTTGGGAGCTGGAGCCGGAGCTGGAGCCGCAGCCGGAGCCGCAGCGGCACCTGCAGCCTTCGCCTTGGTTTGAGCCTTGGCCTGGGACTTTGGCCGGCAGAGCCTGAGACCCTTGGCGATGCGGGCACGAGCACGTTTCCCGAGCCTGGGGTGAGCAATGTAGGCAAGTCGACTGAGCTTGCGGCTGCCGCCCGTTGGGATCCTGGGCTTGACCTCCTTGGGCTTTACGAGAGTCTTGATAGCCTCAGCACGTGCACTTACGGCCTTGGCGTTGTTGGCCTGCATCTTCTTCAGGCCCCTCTTGTTGTGCTTCTTGGCAAAACGCATGTTCCTCAGGAACTTGGGGTCCACCTGGAAGACAAAAAATGTACAGGGGGCTGTTAAGTGCAGTATGTAGGGGCCCCCAAGCCACCCATGGTGCCCCTCTCCACAGCAGCACCCACGAGACTATCAGGCGCCAGCCGAGGCCTGCTGGGAGCTGAGACAGCCTCAAGTCAACCGTAAATGCAGAAATATCTGGCCCTTAGAGCCCAATAGAGCTCAGAAAGGAAGAACAAATTCCTACAGCAGGATTTTGGTTGAGTTTTTCCTGAAACCCCCTCACGGACACCCCACCCCCTCACCCTTAAAAGGTGCCAAATACTAAGGTTAGTACAACAGATTCACAGCAAACAAGGCAGAATAAGGACCAACGGAGGGAAGGGAAAGGGGTGGGGAGAGACCAACAGTACAGTGGAGTAGCAAAGTGGAGACAAGACTTAGTTGTGCTCAGACCCTACAGCCTCAGACTTCTCAGCTAATCCTTAGAGCTCCCTAGCACAGGAAGGGAAGCTGGCTCCTCCATGCCTAGTACTGCATCAGATCAAGGTCATATGGGTGGTCAAAGTGGAATGGAAGGCTCACAAGGTACTGGGTACACAGGCAAGACCACCCCTTCCCTTGAAAAGCTCTGAGTGAGCAAGGGAGATGATCAGACAAACTGCTCTCAGGAGGCAGGTTACAACTCGGGCCAGTAAAGGCCAAGTAAAGCTTTATTACAGGTCTGGCACAGCATGAAGTGCAGGCAAAACGAAGTACAGTTAAGCTACATGAAAGACCCTGACCATGCAACTGGAGCCAAACACACACTTTTTTCTGATTCGGCGCACACACTCACCCCCTTAAGAGATTCATATCGTTGTGATCGGGGTTTCTTGATGCCATTTCTGTGCCATTTTCGGGCTGTGGGGAAAAAAGGAATTAGACCAAAAAAGAGATTTCCTCTAGTAAGACCACCATCACAGCTGCAAGCCCGGGAGAACCATAATTTCTCCTTACTCGGGATCCGTCTAAGAAGCCCCTTACCACTGAATGCAAAGCACTGTGCGTTATCCCAAGCGGATCCCTGGCTTCTAAATCTACAGCCCCATAGGTAATGCTGGCTGAAAGTAAAATCAGCCCCAGGCCCACTGTAGGAATGTGCCTCCTTTCCCTGCCCAGTATCCCTAATCTTTGCCAGGGTCTGGGGCATTAGATGAAGGCTGGGCCAGGGGAACTTACACTGGTTGTGCGTGGTGTGGTTCTTGGACTTGGCCATGTCTGCAACTGGAGGACGAGAGTGGAGATCAGAGCTGGGGGCTCGCGGGGCCGGGCCTACCTCTTCGCCTTGATCTAGAAGAACGTTAGGCCAGAAGCCTGAATGAGGCTTCAGCACAGATGCCTTGCATTTGCGCCCTCCACCAGCCCGGATTCATTCTGCACGATCCAACGCCAGTCTCCCCTTCCCAAACTCAGGTAATGGTGCCTCAAAACTAGCCCCCCAGCCGCAAGGCTGCGCTCTCCCCCCAAATCCGAATTCTCCCCCTCCCATCCATCCATTGAGAACCCACGAGCAACGTCCCCGCCACGCGGCTTCCGCTCCCCACAGCCAGGCAGCCGGTCTCCCCGTCCTCCCTAAGGCCACGCGCCCCGCCGCCGTCCGGGAGTCACGGATGGCTCCGGATACCGCGCGGCTAGCACTCACCGGGGCCCGCAGATCCCGAAACGCCCGGGACCGGAAGAGGAAGAGGAACGCCGTGGTGCATCACGGGAAATAGGCTTGTCGCGGCAGGAAGGGACTACTGGAAAAGCTTCCTCCAGCGCCGTGAAGATAGGTTCCTAAGCCCGGAGGACACAAGCCAGATGGGAAGGTGGTGCTACGGGCCTGGCCTCGCTCCTTCAGGTTTACCGACCCCTCTCCTTTCTCCTCATATTCCTCCTGACTTGGGTCCCAGGTCTCATTAAAGGTCTTGAAGGCGAAGGGAGTCATTGAGGAATACATGTTAGGCAGGGGGTAACAGGAGATTCGAGTTCCTAAAAAAGTATTTCTGGCTACTGCGCGGAAAATGGACTGTAGCGGGCAGAGGAGGGAGAGCCGTCAGGAGTCTGGTGCAGGATGGGACAGGATGGTGCCTGGAGCTGAGTGGAGGCACGGGGGATGGATAGGAGTGGGTAAGGAAAGAGGGTAGACTGGGCTTGGGACGCAGAAGATTGGCGAGAGCAAGAAGGCCTGTGTAGCCCCTAAGTTTTTGGCTTGAACAAGTGCGTGAAGATGGTGCTTTTTACAGAAATGGGGAAGATTGGGGGAGGGACAGGGGTCTTGTTGCTTTATTTTGAGGGGGCCAGTGATCCAGATGTTTCTTTTTATTTTTTTAAGATTTTTTTTGATGTGGACCATTTTTAAGGTCTTTATTGAATTTGTTACAGTATCTTTTATGTTTTGGTTATTTGGTCACAAGGCATGGTGGGATCTTAGCTCCCCCACCAGGGATGGAACCTGCACCCCCCTCCAGCCCCCCACCCCCCCACATGGGAAGGCGAAGTCCTAACATCAGGGAAGTCTCCAGATGTTTCTTTTTAGATGCATTAAATGTGATATGCCTGTTGTCATCCAAAATAAGTAAATGTTGCCTCCTAATAACTCTATTGCCTTCCCCACCTCTTACCCCTATAGTTCATTTCCACACAGCAGTGGGGCCTGAGGGCACTTTTTAAGATACAAATCAGATCTTGTCACTTAAAGTCTGCAAGGACTTCACCTTGCATTAGAGATAAACTCTTTACCTCCCCTAATCTTGGCAATGCTTTCCTCATCATTCACTTTTCTCCACACCCATGGACTTCTTTCTTTCCTGCCAAGCACAAATACCTGTTCCTGCTTCAGGGCCTTTACACTTGCTATCCCCTCCACCTGTACCACGTTTTCCCTGCTCTTTGGATAGCGTGCTTGCTTGGAGAAGCCTCCCTGGCCTGCCCTATCTAAAACAGAGACCCTCTGCCCCATCTCCCCAGTTACTCTGCATCCTCTCATCCTGTTTGCTTCCTTCATAGAACTTCCCCACACTCTACGTTTTCTATTTACTTGTATATGTGTTCATTGGTTCAAGCACCAAGAGTTCAGAACTGGTTTGGTCACCTTCATTTTCCCATTGCCTGACACAGCACTTGATGTAGAACAGGAACTTGAGAAACACCTACTGAATGGATGTTCCTTGGCAGGCAGGTTCACGGACTGACCGAAGCATTTTGCAGAGAGTTGGGGAGTGAAAGGGAAAGGAGGATGTGGAGGCAGGACACACAGGTGACTCCTTACTGAAGCATTCCTGAGGAGAGGGAGAGAAATCTGGCAGGTGTGAGTTAGGAGAATCAAGAGCAGGCTCAGATGCTCAAGGGGTAACCTAGTGCCAACAAAGAAACAATTGAACACGGGTTCGTGCCCCGGTCCGGGAGGATCCCACATGCCGCGGAGCGGCTGGGCCCGTGAGCCATGGCCACTGGGCCTGCGCGTCCGGAGCTTGTGCTCCGCAATGGGAGAGGCCGCAGCAGTGAGAGGCCCGTGTACCGCAGAAAAAAAAAAAAGAAAGAAACAATTGAGGCCAGAAAGGTGTCTCTGCAGGAGCAAAGTCCTTGAGGGGTGCTGAGAACAGGTGGAGGAGCTGGTAGGCAGAGGTGGGGACTGTAGGAGGTGGGCGTGGCACGAGGCCCCAGGGTATATGGGAGAGGTGGCGCTGGAAGTTTGGATAAAGAGGAGAAGGCTTTTTGTTCTGGGGTTTTTTTTTTGGCCATGCCACATGGCTTATGGGATCTTAGTTCCGTGATCAGGGATTGAACCCACACCCTCGGCAGTGAAAGCGCAGAGTCCTAACCACTAGACCACCAGAGAATTCCCAGGGGAGAAAGTTTGACTGCCA